AAGACTTCTCAAAAGCCACTTAATCACCCTAGACTAAATGCTAAACACAGTACACACTTACTCACCTATGTACTCCCACATCATAACTGTAACTATCACTTTGAACCTTTATCCATTGTTGACAAGAATATAATTGAACCATTGTTTTTTACAAGAAGCATTTTAGATTATATGAATATATCCTTTGTCTTATTCAAATTTAATTCACTTATAATTAATAATCTACTGTTCAACTATGAAATAATTACTGTCCTACTGTACAACTATGATATACTCCTTAGTGTTAAGTAGTCTAAGTCAATAATGTTAAGTTGGCCCATAATACCTAGGCATAATAGAGGCTCTCTTTGTATTGCAACCCACTATTGTAAATAAAAAATCTCAATGTACTGTTTGCAAAGACATAAAATAAATAAAATAAATAAATCACTTCCACTCTCATTCCAGCTGTTCGGGTCTGTTCTTTCTCACCCCCTTGCTCGAAAGCCCAACTGCCTACGGTGGCTCTGTCATCTCCGATCATCCTTTGTATCTCTCTGGCTCCCGTATCCCCGAACGTGATACAGTCAGGTTTCTAGGCCTTCTCTTTGACCGTCGGTTATCCTGGAAACCTCATATTACCTCTCTGAAGGCAACTTTTCACAGCCGGCTTAACCTTCTTAAAACCCTTGCTCATCTTTCCTGGGGAGCTGATCGTCGAACTCTGCTTCGCCTACATTCAGCCCTCGTTTTATCGAAACTCTTTTATGGTGACCAGATTTATTCAGCGGCCTCTCCTGCTACTCTCTCTAGCCTTAACCCCATTCATCACCAAGGATTACGTTTATGCCTTGGTGCTTTTCGCTCTTCCCCTGTTGAGAGCCTCTATGCAGAAGCGAATGTTCCATTTTTGTCTGATCGCCGTGATGCCCATTGCCTTCGCTACTATGTACGCTCTCACGATCTCCACAATCTTTCCATTTATAGAATGGTCACCGATATTAGTAGACATTCTTTATTTGTTCGCCGCCCCTGTTTGCTTCATCCCTTTTCTCTTCGCTTACATTCGCTCTTGTCTTCCATTCAGTTACCACCTTTATATGTTCATGTAGCATCTCACTTTTCCCTACCCCTTGGGAAGTTCCAGCTGTTTGGGTCTGTTCTTTCTCACCCCCTTGCTCGAAAGCCCAACTTTCCTACGGTGGCTTCCCGCTCTCTTTTTCTTGATCACTTCCACTCTCATTCTCATGCCATCGCTGTGTACACAGATGGCTCTAAGTCTTCAGACGGTGTCGGATTCGCAGCAGTGTTTCCGGACAGTGTCATGCGAGGGCATTTACTATCCTCGGCTAGCATTTTTACTGCTGAATTGTATGACATTCTTGCAGCACTTATCCGTATTGCATCTATGCCTGTGTCATCATTTGTGGTTATTTCAGATTCCCTTAGTGATTTACAGGCTATACGAAAATTTAATACACCTCACCCCCTAGTTCTCCGTATCCAACTTGGGCTACGCCGTATTTCTAGCAAGCATAAATATATTGTTTTTTGTTGGGTCTCTGGTCATGTTGATGTACAGGGCAATGGACAGGCAGACATTGCTGCTCTGTCAGCAGTACATGACCTCCCAGTTTCATATAGGTGTTCCATTCACGGACTATTTTGCTGTCATTGCTACCCACCTTCGCACCCTTTGGCAACAACGTTGGTCTGATCTGCTCTATAACAAACTTCATTCTATTAAACCGAGTATAGGTTACTGGCAGTCTTTGTCATCAATGTCGAGGTGGGGAGACTACTACTATTTTCGCATTGGCCACTCTTCTTACAGGTATATCATGGAGAGCCGCCCTGTTCCTCTCTGTGAGAATTGTCAGGTTCCAGTATCTGTTAGCCACATTCTGTTGGACTGCCCCCATTATCCACGAACACGCAGAATTTACCTTCAACGTCGTCTCCACTCTGCTGTCCCTTCTTTACCTTCCCTTCTTGCTGATGGACCACCTCTAATCCGGACATACTTATTGACTTTTTGACAACTGATATAAACGCAAACTCTGATGATACCTTTGCACTCTCCTCAGCCCTTTCTACCTCAATCTCTTACTACCCTCTACCCCTGCACTGTCTACTGCCCTGATGTACTCCATAATCTACTAATCATCTCTTTCCTTGCTACCCGATACCCTCACATCCTTCCCTGCCCTGCAGCGCTGTATAGCCCTTGTGCTTTAGCGCTTCTTTACTATAATTGACGCTGGTGAGGGGCTCTTGATCTAGGGAATTGGATCTGTGCTCCGGTTCCCTGAATTGAGCCTGAATACCTTCCATCCCCCCCAAATGTGCTGTATAATCCTGCGGGTTTAGCGCTCCCCCACGTTTGTAATAATTTAGTTCATTTCTTATTTGTAATTCAATTTAATTTCCATTTTGAGGCCCCCCCCCCCCAAACCTAAAGTGCCCCGGGCCTCCCAAGGTGTAAATTCGGCCCTGGACCTGCTCTCCCCTTGAATTGAACCTGAATTCTACCCATTCTCCCAGATAAGATAAGATTTCGTTCGGATTTTTAATCCCGGAGGGTTAGCCACCCAGGATAACCCAAGAAAGTCAGTGCGTCATCGAGGACTGTCTAACTTATTTCCATTGGGGTCCTTAATCTTGTCCCCCAGGATGCGACCCACACCAGTCGACTAACACCCAGGTACCTATTTGCTGCTAGGTGAACAGGACAACAGGTGTAAGGAAACGTGTCGAAATGTTTCCACCCGCCGGGAATCGAACCCGGGCCCTCCGTGAAGCGGGAGCTTTAGCCACCAGGCCACCGGGCCACCTGTATGACCCATTCAGATTTAGTGCTCTCCCATTGTAGCGTTTAATGAAACGATACAGGTTCAGCACCCCATGAATGTAGTGCACGACCCATACAGGTTTAGTGCTCCCCATTATCAAAAAAGTGCTGAACCTGCAAGGGTCATACAGTAGTGCTCCCCATTAATGTAGTGTTTAGCTAAACCATACAGGTTTTGCACCCCTATGACTGTATGACCCTGATGGTTTAGCGCTTAGTTTTGATTAGAATAATTAGCACCCCCATAAATGTAGTGCACGACCCATACGGTTTTAGTGCTCCACATAAGTCATTGGGGGGCTAGAGGATCCCCTCACGTATTAAACTGTCACATTAGTGTCCTTTTACTTAAGAGGATCCCCTCATAATTCCAGGTATGGGGGGCTTGGGTAACCCCCTTCCCCATGAATAATGGGGGTCTGGATTCCAGCTGATGATGTAAATAAACCCCCCATGATTATAGCAGAGAGTTGAAAGTTCTCTCTTTCTACCCAATTTCCCCCGTAATAAAACAACCCCCCCATTAACCCCCACTCCTCCCACTACCACCCATAACACCAAAAAAGTTTCACCAATCAATAATAAATAATAAAAGCCTTTTCCTGCCTATTTTTATTAATAAAATAAAGGAAAACAAAGGAGGTGGTAAGCCAGGCGCCAACTGCTGTAGACCCATTGCTGCTCTGAGGTATTTTATTAATATTTTGCTATTTATAACAGTCTGATTGATCAGTCAGTCATGGGGGAGAGTCATGGGGGTGTGGGTTTATCATGTGGGTTACTTTTAGTTTGTTTTATTCATGGGTTGTTGGGGAATTTGTTGAAATTACATGGGTTAGTTGTGATGGATGTGTCTCATGTGGGTGTGTGTGACCCCTGGTCATCCTGTGGGTGTGTGTGTGACCTCTGGTCATCCTGTGGGTGTGTGTGTGACCCTGGTCATCCTGTGGGTGTGTGTGTGACCCTGGTCATCCTGTGGGTGTGTGTGTGACCCCTGGTCATCCTGTGGGTGTGTGTGTGACCCCTGGTCATCCTGTGGGTGTGTGGGTGACCCCTGGTCATCCTGTGGGTGTGTGGGTGACCCCTGGTCATCCTGTGGGTGTGTGTGACCCCTGGTCATCCTGTGGGTGTGTGGGTGACCCCTGGTCATCCTGTGGGTGTGTGGGTGACCCCTGGTCATCCTGTGGGTGTGTGGGTGACCCCTGGTCATCCTGTGGGTGTGTGGGTGACCCCTGGTCATCCTGTGGGTGTGTGGGTGACCCCTGGTCATCCTGTGGGTGTGTGGGTGACCCCTGGTCATCCTGTGGGTGTGTGTGTGACCCCTGGTCATCCTGTGGGTGTGTGGGTGACCCCTGGTCATCCTGTGGGTGGGTGTGACCCCTGGTCATCCTGTGGGTGTGTGTGTGACCCCTGGTCATCCTGTGGGTGTGTGTGTGACCCCTGGTCATCCTGTGGGTGTGTGGGTGACCCCTGGTCATCCTGTGGGTGTGTGGGTGGCCCCTGGTCATCCTGTGTGTGTGTGTGTGACCCCTGGTCATCCTGTGGGTGTGTGGGTGACCCCTGGTCATCCTGTGTGTGTGTGTGTGGACCCCTGGTCATCCTGTGGGTGTATGGGTGACCCCTGGTCATCCTGTGGGTGACCTCTGGTCATCCTGTGGGGGTGTGGGTGACCTCTGGTCATCCTGTGGGTGTGTTTACCTGTGTGGGTGACCTCTGGTCATCCTGTGGGTGTGTGGGTGACCTCTGATCATCCTGTGGGTGTGTGGGTGACCTCTGGTCATCCTGTGGGTGTGTGGGTGACATCTGGTCATCCTGTGGGTGTGCAGGTGACCTCTGGTCATCCTGTGGATGTGTGGGTGACCTCTGGTCATCCTGTGGGTGTGTGGGTGACCTCTGGTCATCCTGTAGGTGTGTGCCTGTTTAACCAAGCATATATGTATATAAGAAATAATGTACAATCGATAATTGTAATGTATGTTTATAGTGTGTAATATATAATCTATAATTGTAATGTATGATTGTAGTGAATAATGTATAATCTATAATTGTATGATTGTAGTGTATAATGTATAATCTATAATTGTAATATATGATTGTAGTGTGTAATGTATAATCTGTAATTGAAATGCACAATTATAAGATATGAAATATTTATGATTATTTGTTTCAGGTCACAATGTCAGAGATGGAAGCAGTAGTGGCAGCCCCTGGTATTGGGGCCGAGGGAACACAGCCACTGACCAAGAAACGCAGGGCCTCGGAGAATGGCATTGCAATGACAGAAATGAAAAATGGAATAGACGAAAAGGCTCGAGTTATCGATGAGAGCTACTTTGCGTGAGTTTTTTTTTAATTTGATATTTCAGCGAGAAGAATGCCATTCTCGGTTTTGTAATGTAATTTTTTTGCAATAGTTGTGAGGAGTGGGGATGTTGCAGGTGGAGGCAACATACATTATTTCATACACTGAATGTCTTTGGTTTGATACCTGACGTGATCAAACTGTAGGTGAATCTGCTGTCACTGTTCACTTAGCAGTTAGTAGGTACCTGTGTGTTATCCGACAGGTGTGGATTGCATCCTGAGGAAGATAATTGAAGGACCCCAATGGAAATAATACAGACAGTTCTCAATGACACATTGACTTTCTTGGGTTATTCTGGGTGGCTAACCCTTTGGGTTCAAAATCTGAACAAAATTTATAATATCATGCTCTCTGTCATTCCCTAGGTACCTTTCACTCTTCCATACATTTATTGAACAAAAATACCAACTACTCCAAAACTATATCCCCATTTACTCTTAACATTTCTGGTGGTTTATATTAATTTATAAAAATGAATGATCACAAAGGAAAGATTTGGGTATGGGATATCCAGTGAGCATATTTTAAATGAAATCCAGTAGCTGATTTTCAATTAAAGTTTCTTTGGCCTAGTCAGAAAATGTAAATTACACTGGCATGAAGTTGGGAATATGAGTCGAGGGAAGGAGGGAGGGGGAAGAAAGTTTATTTAGGTACAGGTACACATAAATACAATTATCATACACAGCAACACAAGTGAAATTACCCAGGAAAACTCAAAAGTAGGGAGATGTTATTCACGAATTTTATCCAGATGACAATAGTCTGGTTATTGATGGGGGGAGGAGGGAGAGGATAAAAGGGGGTTAAATTATGGTTGAATTTTAAAATGTATATACTTTTTTTTTTTTTTTTTTTTTTTTTTCCAACAAGTTGGCCGTCTCCCACCGAGGCAGGGTGACCCAAAAAAGAAAGAAAATTCCCAAAAAGAAAATACTTTCATCATCATTCAACACTTTCACCACACTCACACATTATCACTGCTTTTGCAGAGGTGCTCAGAATACAACAGCTTAGAAGCATATACGTGTAAAGATACACAACATATCCCTCCAAACTGCCAATATCCCAAACATATATGTATATATATTTTTCATCATTTGCATTTATTTCTGGTATATGCCTTCTATCTGGCATCCTTATAATTTTTGGGCTAAAAATAAATTGAGAAATGTGGATTTTTTCTCCTCCATTTTGTATTGTATACCAGTGAGTATTATGGTTGATTTTTGAATTTCATGTTTTTCCCTGGTTATTTTTCAAACTATTTCTGTAAAGTGGAGTACAGTATATTATACATTTATGATGAATAACACGTATAAATACTTCATACAAAACTCTTTGTTATGCGAGCATTTCGGGAGCCCTGAAACTTAATTTTGATTACAAGTACGTATGTGAGAAAAAGAATACACACCAAATTCATTTTTGTTTATGACCATTTGATGCATATTGGGTAAGCTCCTATTTTATTTTATTAAACATTAGTCAAGATATATAGAATCTGCAAAGTCTCAGAGCAAATCTTTCTCTGTTTTACGAGTTATAAAGGCTTGACATTATGTGAATTTCCTTTATACACAATTGACCAGGAACATGTGAAACTTGCAGATGAAGTAAAAAAATTAATTAATTTAAACAAAAATGTGTGCTAAATGTATTTTCCTGAAATTGTCTGATGTAAGTTTTGAAACTGCCATTAAACTTTAATAATAAAAATTGCACCATATGTCTCATTTTTTTTTTTAATTTAAATCACATCTTTAACAATTATTACTCATTACTTTTTTGTTTTTAAATTCTCTTGAATTTAAGTGTCAGTTTAACATTAATTTTAATTTATTATCTTTCACTTAACCCTTAAGCTATCCAAACATAGATCTATGTTCGCTCGCGTAGCGCTCTGAATGTAGACCTACGTTTTTTACATAAGGAAACGTGTAAAATCGAATGTAAATCTACGTTCCGAGTGCTAAGCGAGCGAACGTAGATCTACGTTTGGACAGTCTAAGGGTTAATGCTCAGTTTTCATCAAAATTTCTCTTCCAGTATAGTGTGATTTTATAGTTTAGTGTATACCATATTTGTATACATTGTCCAATATATTTTTTTACTGGTATACATTGCTGACAGGTTGATGATATATATTTACAGTTTTCTAGGAAAATGATTTATGTGAAATGAGAAACACTGATCTTTTGCAATATTTTTATATTTTTAAAGTCGTAAGTATTTAAGAGGAAGCTTGAAAAAAAATGTGAAAATATCAGTATATTTGAAGTTTCAATTTTTCAACTAATATTAAGATATTTTTGATTAAAAAAAAAAATTATATTTCTTTTAGGTCATATTCAGATATAGAACTTCATCGCACGATGATAGAAGATAGTGTACGCACTAATGCCTACCAACAAGCAATATTTCAAAACATGGAGGAAGATATACGAGGCAAAGTGGTTGTGGATGTGGGATGTGGCACAGGCATCTTGAGTATGTTCTGTGCCCAGGCTGGAGCCAAGATGGTGTATGCCATAGATGCATCGAAAATTGCGGGACATGCTAAGCAGCTTATAGAGGCCAATGGCTTCAAAGATGTTATTACAGGTTGGATTTTCTTTATATGTTATGTTTTATGTACTTTTTTTTTTTTTTTTTTTTTTTTCAAAATTTAGTTTCTATAGTAAATGATGAACATTCAAGATTATCATCATTGCATTCAAGGGAGAAGCAGCAATTCCATAAGGGTCATACAGCTTTGAAATGAGCTGAGGTAGGATAACAGTTCTTAGCCTGTAAAATTGATGTGTAAAAACAAAAAAAAAAAAAAAAACACAGTTTTGATTCAAGGAAGGGAAGTTTGTTAGACTCCCTAGATCAAGAGCCTCTCACCAGCATCAAGGAACCTTGTTAAATTAGACACGTGCAACTCTTGGGTATCTTTATTGAGGAAACGTTTTGCCACAGTGTGGCGAAACGTTTCCTCAATAAAGATATCCAATAGTTGCACATATGTCTAATTTAACAACATGTCGGTTCTTTGAACCATTCATCCACATCAAGGAACCTTCCTTGAGGGGTCCCTAGATCAAAAGCCCCTCACCAGCATGAGGGAACCTCCCTTGAGGAATAGCTATATAAGTTGTACCAATTTATACACTGGATAAGTACAGATGCTCCTTGACTTACAGTGGAGTTATGTTCTGAAGAACCCATACCTTTGATGAGTTTTGAGTTACTACTCTCGGAGCCCAGCCATGGGCCAGGCTCGTCTGGTGCTTGCCTGGCCAAACAGGCTGTTGCTGCTGGAGGCCTGCTGCCCCATAGTAAGTAAATTATCATAATTTGAATATGAATAAGATGTGCTAAGTAAATAACCAGTCACTGAATAGGTAAATAAACAAATAATTACTGTAACTAAATTCCAGTATTGAAAAGTAAATAAATGAACACAGGTTACTGACTTGCCACCTCCATGCTGGGTAATTATCTTAGGTTTCATCTCGAAAGTAATTGCTTTTGCACCATCGTAAAGTCAAAATATCGTAAGTCAAACCACCATGATATAATAATAATATCTTTATTTACTACAAGTACGTATATGTACAAGGTATACAGACCATAGCTGACATCAGTGACTTACTACTATATAGAAAGTCGCTTGCTATGTTGAGCATTTTGGGCAAATTAGGTTAGTTTTGTCCCAGGGTGCAACACACACCAGTCAGCTAACACCTAGGTACCCATTTTACACTGATGAGTGAACAAGGACAGCAGGTGTCTTATGGAAACACGTCCCTAATGTTTTCCATCTGTACCGGAGGAGATTCGAACTCCAGACCTCAGTGTGTGAGCTGAGGTGCTCAAAGAGCACCTGTACTTTGCAAATGCCTATTATTACTTCCCCTTTCTATAAGAAAGTCAGTACCACTCTGCCTTCTACCATAAGAGGAGGTGCCTCTATGCAAGTGAATTAAGGGGCTCCTGATTCATGGAACCGGACCTATCCTCTCTTGTCATGGATAGAACCTGATTGCCTTCCATTACTCTAAGTGTTGATATATGGTATGGTGATACCAGCAAGATGTGGTAAAAAGCATTTATGTACAATCTTGAACTGTACATAAGTGTCTTTTTCTACACTCCTAGTATTGTATGATACCCTCACTGTACAGTCACTGTAGAGTCACTGATAGTCACTGTAGAGCTCCTGCCCCTTATTTTTGTACATAATTACCTTTCTTCTTTCTTTCTTTCAACACACCAGCCATATCCCACCAAGGCAGGGTGGCCCAAAAAGAAAAACGAAAGTTTCTCTTTTAAATTTAGTAATTTATACGGGAGAAGGGGTTAACATAATTACCTACTTGTACTTATAACTGAGTTTACAGGGTAAGGAAGAAGAGAGTTAAGCTCCACCTCTGTATCCTGCCTCTTATCTTTCACATGATTGACATGAATTACCTGTCATTTTTCTCTTTTGAGCCCCTGTATGGAATATGTATTTGCTCTCACTGAATAGGTTGTTTCACTTCTTTACTGTTAAAAACAAGCTTGGGGATATTTCTGTGCCTTGGTGGGTGTGTGGCAAGTTCCCATTGTTCTGTCTTTATTTGTATATATGTTGGTAGAATTACTGACAATGTGTAAAATAAAAGGACATAAGTGCAACTAATGTGACATATTATTGTGGCAACGTTTCTTTGTCAAGCCGTTACGGCTTGACAAAGCTCCTGGAGAGCAAAACGTTGCCACAATAAAATGTCACATTAGTTGCACTTGTGTCCTCTTACTCTATATCTTTATTTGTGATGAAAAACTTTCTAATATTTCAGCATCTCTTCTTCCTTAGTAATGGGTTTGCTTTGCCTAACAAAGCTTATACCTGTACTCGGTGTTTAAACACCAGCTTAGAGAAAAACCAAACTTTGGACCACAATTGTACAACCCTTTTCTTCCTATATACAAAAACTGGCAGCTCAGTGTGTGATAGTGATTTATTCTGTATAACTGCAACTGTATCATATTCTCTTATTTCACTAATACATTGTAAGTACAATACATACGTCATTAAATAAAAATGAAATAAAATCACTATTTGCAAAAATAGGATGACAGTCATAGGTGTGGTACAGTGGTATGCTTTAGAAATAATACTTTTACAAAACCCATAATATGCTTGGCATACAGTCCTATCACATACTTTACTATAGCTTTTTACTCAAATCAAACTATGCAACTCATTTTTGTTGATTTTCATTGTTTTTTGATAGAGCAACATCAGTAGCAGGACTGTCTGGTAGTTAATTTTATTTCTGTATTCATTATACACACAACTCGCACGTAGGAGAATGAAACTTACGATGTTTTGGTCCGACTTGGGTAATTAGTCACTGACTAGTCAATTGCTAGTTAATGGTCCAGGTCAGACCAAAATATCGTATGTTTCATTCTCCTGTGTGCAAATTATTTTTGTATTGTTCCAGTCATGTTATTGTGCCCTTTTATTCTTTCAGCATTCAAATTGTTACCACCCATGTGCTCTTTTGTTGTAAGCAGGAAATAAATGAGTTTGGGAGTGTGTGTAAAGGTAGAAAGTTGAAAGTGAACATAGAAAAGAGTAAGGTGATGAGGGTATCAAATGATTTAGATAAAGAAAAATTGGATATCAAATTGGGAAGGAGGAGTATGGAAGAAGTGAATGTTTTCAGATACTTGGGAGTTGACATGTCAGCGGATGGATTTATGAAGGTTGAGGTTAATCATAGAACTGATGAGGGAAAAAAGGTGAGTGGTGCATTGAGGTATATGTGGAGACAAAAAACGTTATCTATGGAGGCAAAGAAGGGAATGTATGAAAGTATAGTAGTACCAACACTCTTATATGGGTGTGAAGCTTGGGTGGTAAATGCAGCAGCGAGGAGACGGTTGGAGGCAGTGGAGATGTCCTGTCTAAGGGCAATGTGTGGTGTAAATATTATGCAGAAAATTTGAAGTGTGGAAATTAGGAGAAGGTGTGGAGTTAATAAAAGTATTAGTCAGAGGGCTGAAGAGGGGTTGTTGAGGTGGTTTGGTCATTTAGAGGGAATGGATCAAAGTAGAATGATGTGGAGAGTGTATAAATCTGTAGGGGAAGGAAGGCGGGGTAGGGGTCGTCCTCAAAAAGGTTGGAAGGAAGGGGTAAGGGAGGTTTTGTGGGCGAGGGGCTTGGACTTCCAGCAGGTGTGCATGAGCGTGTTCAATAGGAGTGAATGGAGACAAATGGTATTTGGAACCTGACGATCTGTTGGAGTGTGAGCAGGGTAATATTTTTATATAGTCAGACTTGAGTCCTGGAAATGGGAAGTACAATGCCTGCACTCTAAAGGAGGGGTTCGGGATATTGGCAGTTTGGAGGGATATACTGTATTGTGTACTTTTATACGTATATGCTTCTAAACTGTTGTGTTCTGAGCACCTCTGCAAAAACAGTGATTATGTGTGAGTGAGGTGAAAGTGTTGAATGATGATGAAAGTATTTTCTTTTTGGGTCTCCCTGCCTTGGTGGGAGACGGCCGACTTGTTAAAAAAAAAAATAATTATAGTTTATTATTGTTGTAATTACAGAGGTATACTCAGTACATTTTCTCATTAAATTGTAAAGATATTTTAAATTTATTTAGAAAAGTTTGCTTTATAAATATTATACTGGGCTAGCTCAAAATATATTAAAGACTATTGATATACAGTATTACAGGGCAAGGCAGAGGAAGTTGAATTGCCCGAAAAGGTGGACATTGTCGTGAGTGAATGGATGGGATACATGCTGCTCTACGAGACCATGTTGCCCTCAGTCCTCTATGTCAGAGACAAATGGCTCAAACCTGTAAGTAATGAATGTTCTTATGAGTAATGTCCAAATTCTTTATCAAAGAATGGTTTCAGAGTTTGAAAGCTGACTAGTTGGCTGAATGTATAATATAAACTATTGTGCAGTAGTTCTGAAAGAAAATATATTAACACAAGATTGTTTATTGAAAAAGAATAATAATAATTTTTATTTTTAAAAATAATATATATATAATTATTACAAGATCTAGTAAACAATAAATTTTTTTAATGGCTAATGGTTATAAGATTTTGAGTGGTGCATTGAGGTATATGTGGAGACAAAAAACGTTAAATATGGAGGCAAAGAAGGGAATGTATGAAAGTATAGTAGTACCAACACTTATATGGGTGTGAAGCTTGGGTTGTGAATGCAGCAGCGAGGAGACGGTTGGAGGCAGTGGAGATGTCCTGTCTAAGGGCAATGTGTGGTGTAAATATTACGCAGAAAATTCGGAGTGTGGAAATTAGGAGAAGGTGTGGCGTTAATAAAAGTATTAGAGGGCTGAAGAGGGGTTGTTGAGGTGGTTTGGTCATTTAGAGAGAATGGATCAAAGCAGAATGACATGGAGAGCATTTAAATCTGTAGGAGAAAGAAGGCGGAGTAGGGGTCGTCCTCAAAAAGGCTGGAAGGAAGGGGTAAAGGAGGCTTTGTGGGCGAGGGGCTTGGACTTCCAGCAGGCGTGCGTGAGCGTGTTTGATGGAAGTGAATGGAGACGAATGGTATTTGGGACCTGACGATCTGTTGGAGTGTGAGCAGGGTAATATTTAATGAAGGGATTCAGGGAAACCTGTTATTTTTATATAGCCAGACTTGAGTCCTGGAAATGGGAAGTACAATGTCTGCACTGTAAAGGAGGGGTTCGGGATATTGGCAGTTTGGAGGGATATGTTGTGTATCTTTATACGTATATGCTTCTAAGCTGTTATGTTCTGAGCACTTCTGCAAAAACAGTGATTATGTGTGAGTGAGGTGAAAGAGCTGAATGATGATGAAAGTATTTTCTTTTTGGGGATTTTCTTTTTGGGTCACCCTGCCTCGGTGGGAGACAGCCGACTTGTTAAAAAATTTAAATGAAATTTATTAATAAAAGTGATTAATAAGAATGTAGCTCAATAATACTTTTCTTGTGATTAAAGCTTGAGAAGAAGGAAAAGAAAATTGATATAACTGTAAGAATTGATATGAAGTTGAGGAATGTACCTCTAGAATGCTACTGATTTTTTTTTTTTTTAACTTAATGGCTGTCTCACCAAGGCAGGGCGAACCAAAGAAAAAACACATTTACCATTCAATTGCTGTCTTTCCAGAAGTGTGATGTCAACACACTTCTGACTGTAACATCATCCTCTATCCATCCTTCAAAAGCACAGGCACTGCCTTTGTTACTAATGCCTATGTATACTTATGTAATGATATTCAGGGAGTCATATTGGGTCAGACTTAAAAAAAAAAAGTATAGATGTAATTTTGCTATACATAATTTTATTTTCAAAAATTTCTGCCACTTTTTTTTTTTTTTTAAATATTGGCAAACTCCCACCATTTCTGTCTTAACAGAAATGCACAGACATCTCTGTTCAAATGACCTCCGACCTGCAGCATCCTCGGCCGTCCTTTAAGACGGGTCTCCAAACTGCAGCCCATAGGCCGCAAGCGGCACACAGCAATTTCAAATACACCTACCATTCGACTTACGACCTGCTCGACTTACGACCACTCGACTTACGACCGTGTTTTTTATGCCAAACTTCTGGGAAATAAACAACTATTTGTGTTGTACACAGTGTTTATCCTAAACCTTACAGTATAAAATACAGTACTAACAGCATAAAAAGTAAAGTAAAACATGAAATACCAAAATAAAACAATAAAATAAAGTCATTACAAAAATGTTTTGTTGATATTCAGTAGTAAAGTTCGACTTACGACCATTTCGACTTACGACCGGTTTCTCGGAACCGAACTTGGCCGTAGGTCGGATGGTAGGTGTATTTATAAATAGTAAAACAAATCAAATTTAATTTTCAGTCACTTATTCATTCATTTATATTTATTTATAAGACTGATTTTTTCTTTGGTCTGCAAAAATGTGTAAAATATATGATGTGGCACCCATGGTGAAAAGTTTGGACACCCCTGCCTTAAGAGTACAGGCACTGTGCTTCCTACCTAAGAAGACTTAAGTTTGGCTAACCAGCTTTCCTGAAACAGTTTGTAAATGTTACCTTGTTTACACTCCAACAGCAATCAGATCCTTAAAACCACTTACTTTCACTCTGATCTAGCACACTCACACATGCCTGCTTGATGCTCAAACCCCCTTCCACCCAAAACCTCCTTCACTCCCTCCAAACCTTAGGATGACCCCTATTCCTCCTCCCATCTTGGATTTATACACCCTCTTGGTCATTCTATCCTCCCCCCCCCCATCTCCCGCCTTTCTAAATAACCAGACCACCTCAACAACCCCTCATCCCTCTGAATTACACCTTATGTACCCCATGCTATATTCTATTTTCTACAGTCCTAATTCTCTACAAGGTATTCACTCTACATATTGCTATCAAACGTTACATCTCCATTGCTTTACACCAATACACAAGTACAGTACTGGTGCCACCATACCCTGGTCATTTCCTTTTTTGCCTCCATTATTAACCTTTCTTTGTACATCACTTACCTTCTTCACATGTTTGTTTTATGATTCATCTTATTTTCCATATAGCCATCTGCCAACACAGTAAGATCAAAGTAAATAGGTGATATCATAATATGCAAAACAACCACTGTAAAAAAAATAGCGAACTTCCAATCACTTTCGTGATGTCTCACATTATCAGTGTGATAATGTGAGAAATCACGAAAGTCCTTGGAAGTTCGCTATTTTTTCACAGTGGTTATTTTGCACATCATAGATATAAATATCCTAGGTAGTAGGATGGTAGACAGCAACCGTCCAGGGAGGTACTACCATCCTGCCAAAACGGAAACCTGTAATTGTTTTACATGATGGTAAGATTGCTGGTGTCCATTTTTCTGTCTCATAAACATGCAAGGTTGAATTCAGGTACGTCTTGCTACTTCTACTTACACTTAGGTCACACTACACATACATGTACATTGTACAAGAATATATATACACACCCCTCTGGATTTTCTTCTATTTTTCTTACTAGTTCTTGTTCTTGTTTATTTCCTCTTACCTCCATGGGGAAGTGGAACAGAATTCTTCCTCCGTAAGCCATGCGTGTCGTAAGAGGCAACTAAAATGCCGGGAGCAAGGGGCTAGTAACCCCTTCTCCTGTATATATTACTAAATTTAAGAGGAGAAACTTTCGTTTTTCCTTTTGGGCCACCCTGCCTCGGTGGGATACGGCCAGTTTGTTGAAAGAAGAAGATAAAAGATATAAATATGTGTAGACACTCGCCATATTTAGGTCTCTTTCCTGTTTTTTTCATGGGATGCTATAATGTTCTGATTTTAGATTATCAGGTTATGAGAGCAGTGACCTACAAATTGGTGATGGTGTTTTCTTTGTCAGGAAAAATTATCCTAATATGGCTCTTAGTCACATGATGATGAGCTTTGTGGGGCTTTTGGTCATTTGAGTGAAGTCTTCTGCTGGCTTACTGGTCCACTTTGTAAAAAATTAAATATCACTATCATACGATAGGATAGCAAGCCCCCCTTCCCCCCTTACTTCACGTACAAAATGAAAACACAACAGGAAATGGCATAATATGGCTTCTGTTTCCTGCGATGTTACGTAAATGCAAAGGCACCTAGTATTATTTTCGGCTAATTTCTTAGATATATTTACAATTCATTAGTATTTTTATAATGGTGTTTTACAGATAAAACAGTAAATGAGTATAAAGATACGTAATTCAGAAAAAGCCTTTAATTTAGACACCATTGTGCTCAGGATTGAGCTTTATAAAGTTATGAGGCTTTAATGAAGCTCAGTCCTAAAATATATAATCTAAAACAGCCTTGTACTTCACAACATATCTTTATATCCTCTTGATGCTTTTAGGGAAACTTTTGACATTAATAACTTAATTGGTACTTGCTATTTTAACATGGTATGATAGTATGGATTTGTGTTAAGTGGTTCTGTTCATTGCTTTCATTGTTTGTTGCTTTTATCCCTTTTTAATGTGTTGTGCATATTTTTTTTATGCCTGTGAGTGCTGGGTGGCCTACATGGTTGTAGGGCTCACTAAATGTCATGATTGTTATTACTACTAGTCTTTATCCTCACTCGTTGCCCCAGTTGTTAAAATAATAGCTAAATGTTTTTAGCCTGTTTCAGGCTATGTTTTGCTTATATTTTTACCTTTTTTTTTTTTTTACACAGGGTTTGACAAGGTTAAGGATCCCTAGTTTTATTGACAAGCTATTTACAGGTTAAGGATTCCTAACTTTATTGACAGGCTAAGAGCTGTTACTACATCAGCTCATTTGAAAGCATTTTTATTGTTGTGAGACATACAAGTAGGGAACAGGATGAAGTTGGAGCCATCTGTGGGCCAGCATTTTCATTTGATCAACTGACTTTATCTCGTTGACATCATTATGCTGTACGAATGTGTTCCATACTCGAGTCATCCTGGGTATATATGATCTCAGATGGAGTGATGTTCTGGAGAAGGGCACAGCCAGAGTGAAGTTGCTGCTGTCTGCCCATCTCGTGGCATAAAAGCTTGTTTCACGCTGTCCTCGAAGTGGATCTAAATGTGGTACTTTGACAATATTGGCCTTGTACATAACAGTAAGGCCACCCACATTCCTCCTGTGTTGAAGGCTCTGCTGAAATAATAGATCTATCCAGGATGGGTCCAGGCGAGAGAAGAGACGTCTTGCTCTGTTCTCCACTCTGTCAAGCATTCACAGATGAGAGGGGGGGGGGGGAGGCAAACCAAAAAAAAGTGGAGCATACTCAAGGTGTAAGCGTACTTGTGCCTCGTACAGAATCTTGCAACCCCTACTGTCAAGCAGATGCGAGATACGGCAAAGTGCTGTAAGCTTCCTGGCTGCCTTGTTTGCTAGATTTACAGCATGGTCCTTGATGGTTAGTTTTGAGTCAAATTTCACCCCAAGGATATCAACTTCTTCTCCAGGTGCCAACACCCTCCCATTCATCCTTACTACTGCACCAGCATTACCATCATGGTGCCTAGAGACGATCATTATTTGCGTTTTTCTCAGGTGCAAATGTTACTTGCCATCTATTTCCCCAAGCTGATATAGCTCTTAGCTGGTGATTGATGTAGCTTAGAGCAGCTGGCATTTCTTCTCTTGGATAAGTGAATGTCAGTGTACAGTCATCTGCATATGCATGTGATTCTGGGATGAGATGAAGGTCGTTGAAGTAGACATTCATAACAATGGTCCAGCCGCTTCCTTGTGGAACACTTGCCCCAATAGGATGTCTTGCTGATTCCGTTCCATTGAGAACTACACTTAGAGATCTACCATGAAGGTAATCACTGAGGAGACATAGCATAGAGCCTGCAATTCCCAGTGCTTGAAGTTTTGCTAAGAGGCCCTGGTGCCACACCTGGTCGAAAGCACCAGCAATGTCCAGTGCTACCACACAGCTGACTTTGGATTCATCTAGTGACTGGTGCCACTTAGTGGAGAGGTTTAACAACAGATCAGCAGCAGAGTAACCTTTCCTGAATCCATATTGACAATCACAAAGTAGTGAGTGGTAGTCAAAAAAAAACTGTCATTTGTCTTGAGATTATTGTCTCAAGGATCTTACCAGTGAATGACAGGAGTGACACTGGTCTGTAGTTGCTGATTTCTGCTCTGCTCTTCTTTTTGTGAACAGGGACTACATTTGCCTCTTTCCACAGAGAGGGCCATTTATACTGTACTAGGCAGTGCTGAAAGATGCGAGTTAGAGGTGCTGCTAGCTGGTCTGCACATCTCGGCAATCTTAGGCTCAACTTGTCTGGGCCCACAGCCTTTTCTTGGTCAAGCGATTTAAGAAAGAAATGCACCTCCTCCTGCCTTATTGTCACCACTGACAGTTTTGACACAGTTCTTGCAGCTAGCCAAGGAGGGTCCCTTGCTGGATCAGGAACTTGCATTTTGGTAGCAAAGTGTTTAGCAAAGAGGTCTGCCTTCTCTTGACTACTAGTAGAGGTGGTTCCATCCTGTCGATTTAGAGGTGGAATGAGTTCATCAGGTAGATAACCTTGTCTGTCCTTGACCAGAGACCACCAAGTTTTGGAGCCTACCCTACCTGATGCTAGCTTTCTTTTTGTGTCCACCTCCCATTTAGCAATGGCCCACTTTTGAACGTCACCCATATGCCTACAGGCTTGCCTGTGCAAGTTCCTGTTATAGGTGGTAGGATGTCTCTTATACCTTCGCCAAGCTTTGTACTTAGCAGTAGCAGCCTCTCTACAATGAAAGCCAAACCAAGGCTGATCTGTTGGCATCGTCACATATTGCCGGTGAGGAATATGTTCTTGTTGTAGATTAAGGATGTGTCCAGTGAAGGCTTTCACTTGGTTGTCAACATCCCCTTGGAGAAGAGCATTCCAATCGGTGGTGGCGAGCTCAGAGCAAAGGGCTGGCCAATTACCTCTTTCCCATAGCCAGGTTGTGCGTGTGGACTCCTCACCTCGTTCTGTTGGGATCTTAAGTGTCGTAAAAACAGCCTTGTGGTCAGACGATCCAACGTAGCCGAGGGGTTGACAAGTGTCTATGCCTTCTGCCAGATCACTCACTACTGGGTCAAGGGAGGAGCCAGAGATGTGAGTAGGGAAATCAACAAAGTTTCTCATGTCAAATACTGCAAGGTCATCAAAGTCCCTCTGTACAAGGTGTTGGTTGAGGTCACCAACAATTATGATATGTTGACAGTTGTGTTGTAGCAGAAGGGAGTCAATATTTTCCATAAGGAAGTTGATGGGGTCTGCATGTTGCCACTGAGGTCTGTACATTGCACATGCTAGTACAGAGGTACTAGTGTTTATGCAGAGCTTGAAGAACATCATTTCAAGATGAGTAGGGGTGGCAACATCAATGTGCTGGGCATGAACACTTTTAGAGAAGCACACAGCAACACCACCTCCTTGCCCTTGCCTGTCTCTTCTCATCCATGAGGTGTAGCCAGCAATTCTTGCAAAATTTTCTGGAGTCCTGTCATCCAAAAATGTTTCAACAACAGCTATCATGTCGGGACGTCGAGTGTTCACAAAACTGTGTGTGAGGTCTCCAACATTGGTAATGAAACCTCTAATGTGTGGGTGACCCTGCCTTGGTGGGAAACTGCCGACGTGTTAAAAAAATCAATATCTAATATCTGTTTTATTTTTTTTAATATGCTGGCCTTCTCCCACTGAGGAACAGTGACCCAAAAAAGAAACACTTTCACCATCATTCACACTATCTAATGATTGTGTATTTTGTCTATAATATCTTTATCTTTTATATAAATATCTAATGGCATTTGTATTCTGTACAGGGTGGCAAAATGTACCCAGAGAGAGCAGTGCTGTACATGGCACTGGGTGAGGCACAATGGATTACCAAGTACGAGGAAGGGACATATGACTTTTGGATTTCTTTGAACCATATTTACAACCTCGACATGTCTCTTCTGGCTGACCACGCAGTTGCAAGATACAAAGGTAAGAATTAAATTGCATTCACATCTGGGCATGATTGACTTGAGTGCAGAGTAGGGAAGAAAACACACACACATTAGTACAAGCCTCTATTGAGAGAATGTTTCACTTTACACAGAGTGAAATGTCACAGTTAATTATTATTATTACAATCATAACCAAGAGTGAAACCCACAAGGGTCATACAGTTTCCCAGTAAAGGTTTATTCTGTAGCATGTAATTTTTTTCCTCACTATTGTCCACAGTATGACATGGGTTCAGCCTGAGTTCATAGTGGTCAGGTCCATGGTTAAATTATGATACAATCAGTTTGTGTGTGTGTGTGAAAACTTTGTTATGGTAGGGCCCAGACTTTAAATGTTCCAACTTAATTTGTGAACATTAAAATGGTATAAAATACCGACAGATTGTTAGGTAAGACACATATGCAACAGTTAGGTATCTTTATTTCGAAACGTTTCGCCTACACAGTAGGCTTCTTCAGTCGAGTACAGAAAAGTTGATAGAAGCAGAAGATACTTGAAGACGATGTAATCAGTCCATCTCCAAACTTAAAGTTTTGAGATGGACTGATTACATCGTCTTCAAGTCTCTTCTGCTTCTATCAACTTTTCTGTACTCGACTGAAGAAGCCTACTGTGTAGGCGAAACGTTTCGAAATAAAGATACCTAACTGTTGCATATGTGTCTTACCTAACAACTTAATTTGTGTTTGCCCATATGACATTTGCACTGTGGAACCAATTAGTAATTACTTACACATCTGTAGTTAGGATCATTGTAAATATTAAAAAAAGTAATGATTTTTAAATCATTTTTTTTCTGTTTTTTGCTAAATGTATTAACATTTTGTGTGTGATAGTTTTATGCATGCATAGAGTGTGAGCAAGGTAACTTTTATGGAGGGATTTGGGAAATCGGTTAGCTGGACTTGAGTCCTGGAGGTGGGGATCTTGCAGTCAGAGGGTAATGTTATTGTAATGTAAGCAAACTTCTGGAAAGATTGCAGTTCAGTGAATGAGTTTTATTCTTTGGATCACCCTGCCTTGGTGAAAAATAGCTGTTGCATGAAAGATAATCAAGAGCTCATATTTCTTTGGTAGAAAGTGATCAAGAACTATAGATTTAACTTAAACGATTTTCTTAAGTTTGAATTAAAAATTTAGATTTTTTTTTCTTGGAAAGTATTTTACCAAATGCATTCATCATACTTTGTGTATAAACGGTTTGTAAATTTGATTTAGAAGTGATATAGGAAAATACTAGTTTATTGCATTAATGGTATATAATACCAATAAGTGGATGTGTAAGACACATGTACAATTGTTAAAACCTTCAGCATGTTGAGCCAGCTTCTTTTAGTCAAGTACAGATTTAACATAAGCATTAAACAACAGAATCAATAAAAAGGCTCCATTCTCATGCCTGAGCTTCATATTGGTTGAGGCTATGGAGCAGAAGGCTTACCAAAGCTTAGGGACTCGCCACCTCAATATTACTTCTTTCTCAAAGTTGAGGGACTGATTACCTCATATTTACCTCTCCACTGCATCTGCTGTCTCCAATATTTAAGATACCTTTGTGTTTTGCTGAAGAAGGAAGGATAAACACACTAGTAATAGAGGTTGTTTTTGATACATTTCACCCAAGGCTGAGCCTTATCAAATACAATACTATAGAAAATGCAAAAATATGCAAGACTACTTCCAGAACTAAGGGGCATCAGTAACTGAGAAAAACTGGAGGATAGAAGGCCCAACTCTGGGGCACAGCTGGACGTTAAATACACAGATGAGTCATAGCTTGGTTGAACTGGTATTGTGATGCCGAGAAGTTATAGGCATTATTATTATTATTATAATCAAGGGGGAAGCGCTAAACCCGGAGGATTATACAGCACCTGGGGGGGGGGGGATGTGGAAGGCATTCAGGCTTAATTCGGGGAACTGGAGCACAGATCCAATTCCCTAAATCAAGAGCCCCTCACCAACATCAAGGAACCTTCCTTGAGGGGTATAGGCAAAAAGACATGTATGCACTGGTCAGTGCATACATGTCTTTTACCTACAATGATTATCTTGTTTAAGTCTCATGGTAGTCAATGCAATACTACCAGCTCTATGTATAAGTAAAACTAAAAGTTCCATTGGCTGTTTTAGATTTCTCCATTACTTTACAGCATCAGTGTTCTTTAGAAATTAACATTTCTGTTATCTTATCAAGAAACACTACCTTCTGTTTTAAACCGTGATATTTAAGAGTGCTGTTTATTATTTTAAAGCTTATGATAATTACTACAGATCAGTTCAGATTTTGTTCTCATATGGGTTTTGTATACCTTATCAGTCTGCTTTTAGCTTGCCATTTTTGTCAAATGATGTTTATATTACCTAATCCTAATATTTTTTTTAACTCTATGTTCTTTCTCCAGACGTTGTTCATGTACATATGGTAGCTCAGGAAGATGTATTAAGCTTGCCGACCCCAGTGTGTGACTTAAATCTCATGACAATTACTGCTGAGGATCTGCGTAGCATGTCTCGATCTTTCACCTTGTTTAGTATGGGTTCACGACGGCTAAACAGCATGGTATTGTGGTTTGATGTTTGGTTCCCAGGAGGATTAAAGCTATCAACATCTCCAGATAATGAGGATACCCACTGGCAAAATACAGTCTTACCACTTGCCACAGTATCCTTACAGCAAGATACACAAGTTAAAGGAGAACTTAGTATAACACAGGATCTCATAAATCATCGTTTTCTAAATGTAGACTTAAAGTATTCTGTGGATAAAGGTGAAGAAATTACACGTTGTTTCAAGATGGACGACAATTGCAATGACAATGACTTCTGAGTCGGGGCAATTCCTCGCCAACTCTAGTCTATTATGTGACAGAAAAATGGAAAGTCAAGAATTTCACATCTTATATACATGGAAAGGAATCAAGCAACCCTTCACATATATGGTTTATTTTGTAAGGAAAACTGGTACAAACCATTTAATTTTTAAAATAGATGAGGATGTGACATTATTACAAGCATTAAGTGAAATGCAAATTTTAGAGCTTGTGGTGGTAGTTGATGCCCTAGCAGAGTTTTGCTGTTTTTTATTAAGGTTTTGCTTGCATCTGCTCAAGAATTATACTGTATTATACATATTCATGGGAAAGCACTTAACCCATGGATAGTTTAGCACAAGGAGTGATAGATGCTTGATCCTCCATCCGCTAATCCCGACTTGCTCTTTGAGCAGTCATAAAGCGTCAAAAGTTATAGAATGCCATGGGGACATGGTTCAATAATAGGTGTAGTAACATTAAGATCTCTCTTCCAAAGAATCATTATTTAAGATTTCTGTGATTCTTGCCTTTGTTAAGGGATAGCCTAACTCCTGCAGAGGTCTTTCACTTAGGTACAAGAATTTTCCTTTAGGAAGATTTGAATCTCAACAGTGGACCACGTTTCAGCTGCATGTGATTCTCATCACAAGGGTAAGTTATCAGTACAAATAATAGTGTGGTATAATTGACAATGCCTTAAACTTGCCTAATGAAACTTTGTGTATGTAAGCTATTTTCCATGTCAATTTATAATACCAGCAGCTGTATTGGATGAGACACTATTGCGGTCAGTGCTATATATATACCGTCCATAGTGGAGTATAATGGGATGCTTAATGGGTCTGAACTTTTTACAAATTTGATTTAGGGGCATTAGAAGCTGATTTACTTATTATTTTTATAATCATAACTAAGGGCTAAACCAATTTAAACTATTGAATAATATACGAGATATTTTTGGTGATTATAATATTATAAGGTTTATTTAGCTATTCACAAAATTTCTGAAAAGTGTTATGGTTGATATTTTGCTGTAGTGCTTACTGTTATACAAAATAATTGGCACTGCTCCGAGGGCCTTGGTAAATGTGATTAGGTAAAGTTAGGTATGGATTATAAACTTGTGTGGTACTTTTAAAACAGCCAAAATGATATATTCGTGTGGAATTGCTAAACCCGTATGGGTCATTGTGTTTGGAGATTGGGAGATAGTCAGGTTTGATCCAAGGAATGGAAGGGTAGTTAATTCCTTGCATCAACAGCCTTAAACATCAAGACACCCCCTTGAAGGTTGAACATGATACAGCTTCAATTCTGACACTTGTATATTCATAATGAAAATGTTAGAAACAGCTGTATTGTATTGAATTTGAAATTTTGTGAGGCATTAAATCCATAGGTGTCATTCAATGCAAGGAATGGTGGAGGTTCAAGCCTCCATCTGCTAATTGTGGCTGTCTTCCATCAGTCAGGCTGATATGTAGAGAAAGAAAATAGTTAAAAGATGATAAAGCCATGTAGTATATGTGCCAAATTCAAACATAAGATATATTGAGGTGTGGCTGAGAATATGAGATAGACATTAAAAAAAAATGATTGAATTAAACATGGTGTTATTTGTGACAAAAGGAATTTTCTTTTCGTGCTTCAAATTTTGATAGAATCATATGCATTAGATTTAGGGAGAGTGAGATTAGGGGTATAAAGCATATCAGTTTAATGTTCTTAGTAATTAGTGAAGTTATGTTTGAATGATATGGAGTAATTGTGATAATTTTATGAGGTAAAGATAACTAGGTGTTGAAAGTCTATATGTATTTGATACCTCTCATTCTTGTGATATATGGCTGTAAGTCAACACAAGGTGGTGTAGAGAGACAGGAAAGAAAAAACTTGTTTATACAAGGTGTCACCCACTGGGGTTTTGTCAGCCACTAGTGAATGAAGTATTGTTACACTCGGGGTTATACAGTGCCTGAGGACTGGTAGGGTGGCGGGGGATGGAAATCAGATTCAATTTAAAGGGAGAGTATATTCAATTCCTTGGATCAGGAGTCCTTCACCAGCATCAGTGCATTTCCCTTGAACCCTCAAGAGAGGTTTTTCAATGCTGGTGAGGGGTTCCTGATCCTAGAGATTGGATTTGTCCTTTTTTTTTTTGGATTGAACCTGAATGCCTCCCATTTTCCCAGGCACTATATGACCCCCAACAAGTTTAGCACTCCTCCATAAACATAATTTTCCTTGGAGGGACTAGTGGGTGAAACATTGTATAAGGTTCTTTGCTATATCTTCATATCACCACTCCTGTTCATTGGCAGTGTAGTTAGAACTTTTTTATTTTGGTGTTCTCAGGGTATTATGCCATTATTATGTTTTTCCTTTTACATTTTTATAGTTAAAAACCTTTCATTTATTCATTGCATTTACTTTAACCCTATTTCTTAATGCTTCTCATTACAGTAGTAGTTTCATAAGTGTCAAATTCATAGAGGTCATACAGCACGAAGAGGATGCAACAATTAGGTTTGATCCAGGGAAGGAAAGGGTTTCTCATTATTTTAAATTCAAATTTTTTATATTTATGCAGTACAAAAATAATATAGTTTAGATGGAAAAGTATTGTTTTTAAGTAATAAAGATCACAAACTTAAATTTTAAAAGTTAATTTTTTTTTCTCTAACAATTCTCTTCTCCCTAGCTCTTAATTTACAGTATTATTACATACCCCTCAAGGGAGGTTCCTTCAACCTGTCGAGGGGCTCCTAATTTAATTAATCTAACCTTATTGCCTAGATGCTGTATGACCCCTATGGTTTAGCATTTTCCCATAAATGTAATACACAGTAATATGTTAAAAGAAAGTTGCCATACCAATAAGGGTCAGAAAATTCAAACTGGCACTCCCATATGTAAAATTTTTAGGAATAAGAAAATTCTAAATGAGGATAATGCATTATAATGTATACTGAATATTGTAAATACCTTTTAGTATTCAGCAAAGCAATTATAATAATCAAAACTAAGCACTAAACCCACCAGGGTCATACAGTGCTGTCAGTAAAGCTACATGTACTATGTGTAATTTTTATTTAAGAAAATCGTATAACTATAATGTTTAATATCAGGATGATTTTGATTTAACAGGTTTTAATTTTTTATTGAATAGTTTCCTTTGATTAGATTGTAGTCAGTCAAGTGTAATTTTGTTATTTAAATTATTGGTAAAACTTATTTCCAATATATGTGTAAATAATCTCCAACCATAGATGCACAAGCTTCAGTGGGGGAAAGAAATGGAGTGGTACACACGCACAATAATTACCATTGATCAAGTTAAGGAAACCTTGCAAAAATATAAAAGTGAATAGTTGTTCAATAAACTATGTCAGCAGTCAAGATTAATTTAAGGCCTTTTGACACTGATCACTGCCTTTTTTTTTAAATATTCCCAAGGATATAAAGATCAGCTATGTACTGGAAACTTGTGTTAAATAAGCAAGACAAAATGACACTGGACTAGGAATGTCAAGGCAGGTTAAGTATTTTTAAACCTGCAGTGGTTATACATGAGGAAATGTTAAACCTGTATGGGAGGTAATCAGGTTTAATTCCTTGATGTTGGTGAGGGGCTCTTGATTTAGGAGCTGTATAGCCCTTGTGGCTTAGCGCTTCTTTTTGATTATAATAATAATAATCTTGATTTAGGAAATTGGATCTGTGCTCCAGTTCCCCGAATTAAGCCTGAATGCCTTCCACATCCCCCCCTCCCCCCCAAGGCGCTGTATAATCCTCCGGGTTTAGCGCTTCCCCTTGATTATAATAATAATCAGGTTTAATCCAATGGTGAGAATAACTAACTCATTGGACCAAGAGCTTTTCACTGGAATCAAGGCCTTTCCCCTTGAAGGGCAGGGGGTCATACAGTGCCTGGCATTGAAAGTTAGTCATGTATAATCCATGGAAAGGCAGCATAGCCCAATTTTTCAGGTTACAGCAGCTAAAACATCAAGGCACTTTCCTTGAAGGGGGGGAAGCCTACTAGAATACTTTATAAGGAAGACTTAAAATGCAAAGCTGGGTATTGTTTACAAATGTAAGTACTGCTACATCCTTTCAAGAAACAATGCAATAAAAGGTGAGGAATGTACAAGCCACAATGGGATGCTATTAGTTAATGTGGCAAGCAACACCCTTAAGCCATTGAAAATTTCAAGTCTTGGGTTAATGAATCCCATCACACAGATAAACCAAGGAAACACATCAAGGATATTTAGGTAAATAGTAATGTCTGTACATCCTCCTAATATACAGTATTATGCATACATGTGTGACTAACAGGATTTGGGTTTTTGACTTCTATTGTTTGAATCCTATGTTTGCCTTGTCAGGAAAAACTAACCCCTAGCTTTGCAAGAAATTTAAGGTATAATGACCATTTCAACTCGGCCATGATCCCTTCAACAGGTCTGGCGTGATGGTATGGCTCTAGATGTTTGTTTCAAATAAAATCCAAAGATCTTCAGGCAATTAGATACAGGAATATTTTCATTATCATCTTAGCTACATGGCCAAATAAGCATCAACTTGAGTTTTTAGGTTCTTCAATTATTTGAATAACAAAGTAACATTCAACCTCAATGGAATTAAGGTATGAACTCACATTGACAATTTCCCTAAGCCATGCCAGAGTCCAAGTGTGGCTACATTGTGATAGGCCACAGAACAATGCCAGTTAACATCTGTTCATATGACTTTACATTCCTATCAATAGGAACCAAAATTTCATAGTCATGAATGTAACAATACTCTCATGTGGAGGGAGGAAATGTAAGGGCCAGTATCACATTATTATTATAATCAAAAAAGAAGCGCTAAGCCACAAGGACTATACAGCTGGCCAGTATCACAGCCTTGGTAAGAACTCTGAATGGAATTCTTTAACGTTATCACAGGTGTCATGTGGTCCATACAATTCCTCCCTCATAAGTAGTGTAAAATAATTTACCTGTTATATTACTGATACAAGTTTTGTTATTTACCTTGTTGGAAAGATAATGTCTGAATACTTATTTATGTCTATTTTGTAAATGTAACAAATACATTTTTTATGCATTATTTATTGTTTATACATTGCAATGAGAATTTTCCTTAATAGCAAGGGCTTTGAATATTACAGAATTCATTGCTGTATAGCCCTTGTGGCTTAGCGCTTCTTTTTGATTATAATAATAATACAGAATTCATTATGTAATATGCAAAAAAATGTAGCTATCAACAAATTTAAATATATTAATAATCATGAAAAGTGATACATACTGGATGCAAAGGGCAGTCAGGAAGTAAAGCAGAACTGAAGTTCTAAAGTCAAACACAAAAAAAAATCAGTAAGACTTGAAACAAAATAATAGAGCTGCCACACTCAATTGAGACTTGTTGCTTGGTTGTGACAACCTTATATATTGCACTAAACCTGTAAGGGTCATCCAGCACTTGCAAAATAGGATATTCTATTTGGGTAATTAGGTCTGATCCAAGGGAATGTAGGCTAGTTCCAATTCTTTAGATTAAGATACCTTTACCAACATCGCTTGAAAAAAAAAAAAAAAATGGCAGCATTAAGATTTATTTTAGTGTTCTAGCATTACTGAATGACCCTCATGGATTTAAAGTTCAATGGGTAAATAATTTAAAAGATGTTTTTGAAAAAAATATATATTATCAGACACTAAACAATATCTATATTTATGGTGAAGAGCTGAAGCTATAACAGTACCTCAGGGATTAAAAGTAGCCTGATTTGATCTAAGGGAAACATGGTCCCAGTTCCCTGGATCATGAGCCCATCATCAAGGGTATAAACATGGTCAAACTAGCTGAATATAACTTGTAGTAATTCTTCCATGGATTAAAAGAACGTACACACTAAACCTCAATTTAATGGACTTTAAAAATACAAGGCCAAATAATTCTGGTGGTTACAAAATTACTCATTATTATGATCACTGCAAAATTGTTACGTATCCACTAATTTTCCCTACTTGTTAGTTAAATCAAGGGTTCACTTATACAGGGAATAGACTGTCTTACATTAGTTATAATGACAGGCTTATATATTCATTGGGAAGTGCTAAACCCACAGGGGTATTTGGAAGTAATCAGGTTAGATCCAAGAAAGGAAAAGGTTCAATTTCCTTGAATCAAGAGCCTCTGAAGGAAATCACCAGAATTATATAATGTACTGCATTATGATTATATTCTTCATACACACAATTGAGTGCCTTTAGCTCAATATTTCTTTTAATATTCAAAAAAGAACATCTTGGCAACCTTAAAAATTAGCAGTTTCAGACAATAAAAAAATGTCATAATACTGTGAATATCAGAACTGAAGTCTCAAAAGTGTATCAACCAAGAGCTATAGTCAGAGAAACACTCACTATACAGTGGTGCTAAGTGCATGGAGGCTGTCTACTAAATAAACATCAGTGTATAAAGGAAAATGGAGTTTAATATACACCCATAACCTTTTTTACCAAATGCAATTCCACTTTCTGTTAAGACATTCCAAATGCATTAGCTACAGTACATATATTTATTGAAATTTTGTCTTTTTTCATATACAGTATGTATATAAAAATTGTTTTACAGCATTATACAATGTAGTGCATAATTTGTTCTATTTTTATACATGCAGATTTTCTGTGTGAGGGTTTTGCAATTCTGATTATGCCTAGTGCTGCACTCACCTATAGGTATTTACAGCTGAACAAGGGCAACCTCAGGGTACTGGAACGTAGCAGTGACAAAAGTGGAGTAGCTGGATGCGGAAGAAATAATAAAGCTAACCAAGATCTTGTCATGAATACTGAAAGGGGGACTAAGTAAAATGCTCTCAAAGATCTTATAATATCACATTATGAAGGGAGTCAGGAAAACCGGCAGGCCAGACTTGTCCTGGAGATGGGACGTATAGTGTCTGCATTCTGAAGGAAGGGTGTTAATGTTGTAGTTTTATAACTAGTGTAAGTGTGCCTCTGGCAAGACAGTGATGGAGTGAATGATGATGAAAGTTTTTCTTTTTCGGGGCCACCCTGCCTTGGTGGGAGAAGGCCGATGTGTTAATATATAAAAATATTCTTTTCTAAAAAAACTGTATTGCATACACAGAATTTTGCTGATTTAAAGCCAATCTGCAAATAGCTGTTTTACATAGCTTTGCTCTCCAGATGTTCATTGTTCTTTAAAAAGTTAAAATTTACTTCAATGTTTAGGGTTAAAGTTATTTAAGGCATTTTTTTTTATTAATATCTCGGGCATTTCTTCCTCAGTTTCAAAAACATCCTTAACCACTCGAGTGTCCAGATCCCCGATCTGAAAATTGTCCAGTGTCAAAAATTTTTCTTACGAAATGGTAGAGAATCTTTTTCAGAAGGGAATAAAACCGTATGAAATTTGATGTAAAACTTGACGAAATTACGCTTTTGCAAATTTTGCTGTGTCAGAGATTTTGCCAACTTTGAGTCCTATTTTAAGCCAATTACATTGTTCCAATTGATCAATTTTATAGCTATATCGCTAGCATATTTTCCATTGTATCGAATGAGCACAAGGAACTTTTTCTACTACCCCATAAAGTGATTGGTAATTTGACCAATTTCAAAATAGGGTCCAGAATAAACAATGCAAGTATTCCTGGCATTAAAATAACATTTCCTCTATTCATTAGTTATGTTCCCAGGCTTTAAACATAAATTCCATTTTGATTTTTTATCACACACAAAAAAACAAAGATTTACTGTTACGCACTATTGCAGTAACCGTATAAATAATATCAGCACATTCGCGAGCACACATTAGACTGAACAAGTGACATGATTTGTTTACTCTTGAATATCGGCAAAAATCGAATATTTCCACTAATTCGAGCTCAATTTCAAGCTACTTCCCCCCTCAAGGAAGGCTCCTTGATGTTGGTGAGGGGTTCTTGATTTAGGGAATTGGATCTGTGCTCCAGTTCCCCGAATTAAGCCTGAATGCCTTCCACATCCCCCCCCCCAGGCGCTGTATAATCTTCCGGGTTTAGCGCTTCCCCCTTGATTATAATAATAATAATCAAGCTACTTCCAGTTTTGAAACCAATCAAAATTATCTCTATTTCTGTAATATATCCTCCAATCTATCAAATTATACCAAGAAATTGAGAATATAACCATAAAAGCCATCCAAAAATACACTACAAGGTCACTATTTTAAACCAAAAACACAGTTGCAGTTTTTCCCATTATGCACTGCGTGAGTCAGGATTATTTTTATATGGTGCACACTTACTGCATCAACCCATTCCCTCATATCTAAGCCCAAATTTACAGCTCCTAGCTTATCTGAGTGAGCTGAGCTTATGACACAAGTCACAGACTTTTTTGGGTTAACCTAGTTCTCTACACGCTTCTATGTAACTGTATTTGTGTATGCCTGAATAAACTTACTTACTTACGGCACAGACAGACTTCAAACTTGTAGTACTACGGCACGGACACTTAAGGGATAAAATATCCTTTGTATTTTACTTTTCATATATTTTTTACAAATTTCAGAAGGTATGGTTCTGCCTTCTGTTTATACTATACTGAACAAAGCAAGTATAAGACAATAAATATTGAAGAATAACCATCTTATATAAAAAAAATTAAATTAATTTTTAACCTGAAAATTTATTTCACACCTCTAAATGTTTATGTAGCATTTAAAATGCAAAATTAAATGTAACACCAGGTGTTACATTGTTATATATTTGGATTAATGTCTACTCTTAAAATTCAGATTGTTATACACAAAATGAGTTATAAAAGATTTACACGACACTAGCCGGCGAACTATCCATCGGGTGAGAGAGAAGAGCGCGTGTTGACGAGGCAGAGCTCACCGACGCATCTGAAGACCTACTAACAGCTGAGGCATTGCTTAATGGTGTGCCAGGAAGAGAAACGGAATCACTCTGATGATTGACATTGGACGCTCCTCCACCTGGGGAAGCGGGAACCGATACATCTGATGAAGTACCGTTTCTCCCAGTCCATGGGGTCTGTAAAAGGAAATAGCATTAATTTTATCAAAGAAACTGCATTATGCAGTATCATATAAACTTATTACATTAATCTGGTATGCTAAAACACCCTGGCATCAATGGGACCTGTAGTGTGCCGGATTACAGAGTGGTTAGGTTAGAATACACTTAATTAACCTATCAATAGACTCTTTCTGCTACATCTTCCTCGTTTTCATCACCGCTTGCTGCTGTGGATTTACAACCATCAGCACAATTTCCAAGTCAGTATAATGATGAAATTTGAAATTATGCTAGCCGAAATTAGTAGTTAGTAGGGCCCTGCTTTACGGAATTCCGCTAATATGGACATTTCAAATTATGACCAAAACTCTCTATACAGCTCCCTCACCTGACTTTCTAATATGGTCACCGTGGGCCACCTGGTTTGTTTACATTCTCCGTGAACAAAACTCTCCATTATGTCTGGAAACTTTCCAAAATTTCAAGTGTTTTAAAGTTGTATTTCATATTTTATACATACTGTGCTAATTATACTTATGTGTACCTGTACCTAAGTAAACCTACACACTGTGCTGGCATGCAGGTATACATTAAAATCACTAAGAGTGTCTTATTAGTCTTGAAGACACCATATTAATAATGATAATAATCACTCTGAGGTGCATTAAATGCCATATATTATGTTAATATAGACTTTTTTTTTTTTTTTCAACAAGTCGGCCGTCTCCCACCGAGGCAGGGTGACCCAAAAAAGAAAGAAAATCCCCAAAAAGAAAATACTTTCATCATCATTCAACACTTTCACCACACTCGCACATTATCACTGTTTTTGCAGAGGTGCTCAGAATACAACAGTCTAGAAGCATACACACATAAAGATACACAACATATCCCTCCAAACTGCCAATATCCCAAACCCCTCCTTTAAAGTGCAGGCATTGTACTTCCCATTTCCAGGACTCAAGTCCGACTATATGAAAATAACCGGTTTCCCTGAATCAATATAGACATTAATATAGACATTTTGATTAATTTGTCTCTGATTTTTTTTCAAAATTATATAATAAATGCACTTTGTAACATATAAACATGATAAATACACCCCACAGTAAAAAATATTAACAAATACGAGATGTCAGTGAATAGGGACGTCCCTATTCACCGACATAAATACGAGATGTTTTTCCAGTCGTCTTGCTGGAGTGTCGGAAAGAAAAACATTTTTCTCTAGTTCAACACCAAAGAAAATGTGTACAAAACAGTATTACTAAGGGTAACTAGAAAATTATTCTTTTTGTATGCCTTCACTCAAAGCGTTATTCCTTCTAAAAATGGTGTGTTACATGAGAATGAGAGTGTTGCTCTTTGTTTATTCTACTGTACCAACGTGGAAACAACTTGTACACAATGTAAGGGATTTGTATTATGGTATAAGATTCACAGACATGGAAATGAAAGTGTATCAACCATAACTAGATGTGTTCATCTGTTTACATACTCTGTGGCTCTGTTCTCTCTCATTTACTTGTTCATTCTCTTATTTATTCGTTTTTATATCATTTATTCACCTCTCACATTAAGACTACAAATACTTTTAAGGTAAGTAATGAGTGTACTGTATATGCATTTTGTCGCTCTAGGGCACTTTAAAATTTTTTTTTTTTTTATCACACACTGGCCGATTCCCACCAAGGCAGGGTGGCCCGAAAAAGAAAAACTTTCACCATCATTCACTCCATCACTGTCTTGCCAGAAGGGTGCTTTACACTACAGTTTTTAAACTGCAACATTAACACCCCTCCTTCAGAGTGCAGGCAGTAGTAGATTGGTAGACAGCAACCACCCAGGGAAGTACTACCGTCCTGCCAGATGACTGTGAAACAGAAACCTGTAACTGTTTTGCATGATGGTAGGATTGCTGGTTTCTTTTTCTGTCTCAAACACGCTAGATAACAGGGATATCTTGCTACTCCTACTTACACTTTGGTCACACTTCACAGACACGCACATGCATATATATATACATACATCTAGGTTTTTCTCCTTTTTCTAAATAGCTCTTGTTCTTCTTTATTTCTTCTATTGTCCGTGGAAAAGAATCTTTCCTCCGTAAGCCATGCGTGTCGTATGAGGCGACTAAAATGCCAGGAGCAATGGGCTAGTAACCCCTTCTCCTGTAGACATTTACTAAAAAAGAGAAGAAGAAAAACTTTATAAAACTGGCACTTTAAATGTTGTAGTATATTGCGTGTGGGTGGGGTGGCCAGGAGGGCTACCATACCTACCACACATGGCTTCTTATAATAAATACTACTCACCTCTCACCCGACATTAAGACTACAAATATTTTAATTTAAGTAATGAGTGTACTGTGTGTGTATTTTACTTTTTATTATTTTTCAATGCCTAGTTCTATTGTTAACTTAATATATGTTAGTGTAAACCTGTTATCTTGAATTTATAAATGGATAAAATGGCGATCTGCTTTCTGGCGGTAGCCTGGAACCTAACCTGCCATATGGGTGAGGCCCTACTGTAATTGCAATATTATGATTATTCATAGACAAGCACTGAACCCCACCACCCTTCTGGGTAAAACAGAAAGGTGGTAGGGTAATCTGGTTTGATCTGTAGAAAGAGAGGGTAGCTTATCTCTTAGATCAAGAGCACTTTACCAGCATCACAGCACCCCTTTCCCTCTGAAAGTAATCACAACACATAGGTTATTCAGCTACAGTTATATACTGTAAATTTATGCACTTTTAATACACTGGCTCTCTCCCACCAAGGTAGGGCGACCTGAAAAGGAAACACTTTCATCATCATTCACTCCATCTTAACTGTAGTGTGTGCATGCCAAAGGCATGCATACACTACAGTTCAGATGCCCCTCCAAACTGCAAATATCCCCACCCATCCTTCAGAGTGCAGGCACTGTATGAGGAGTAAAATGCGATATGGACAGCTAAGATGTATAAACATATCTGTAACATCTTGCAAAGCAAGCATGCATATTACCTTCCTTGGTGTCACAACTGGAGAATGGGAAACCACCTGTGGCAGGTCATTCTCATCACTCTCTGTGGTAGTTGAGTCTGGCAACACCACAATGGATTGCTCCCTTTGGTCATCACTTTTCTTTTCCAGTGTTTGCTCCCCCTCATCTCCATCGTCATCATCGACCTCTGCCTCGGCCTGTGGAACCCTTATTTCATGGCAGCTCTCGGGCTCTCGCGGGCTTTGGTGCCTCAGTCTGTCACACTCCATCCCAGCATCAGCTTCAGATTGGTCCTCATCCAAGAGGCTCCTTGTTTCTGCTGGGTCAACAGGCTGCAGGACAAAAGTATAGTTTACTAAACACCTCCGAACATAATTTGCCCACTGAAATACGTATTAAACTAATAGGAAATGTGAGAATAAATAACCCTATATTATGTATCATTACAATATTGGTATGCAATATCTATACAGGGTAGTAAAGTATGCATATTCCTTTGGTTTTTGCTGCATGGAGACACATGATTATTTTGGCAATTAATGAGAAACTGAAATGGTCGTCAGTGTTCCCTCTGGCAAAAAGACACAAAACAGGAAATATGGAGGCTGTGAATAAGGATACTTGACTCTACAAATAATTAATATATTCAAATCAAAAGTTAAGTTCCGAGTGACAGACTCTAAAGCAGAGTTATGGAAGCATACAAAGTCACTCACCATGAAGTGCACTTGTTTACACCACTTCATCAGTGGTGCTTCAACCCCTTCCCTCTTCATTTATAAGAAATGATAACGCTGTAAGCAAACCTTGTATAATTTTAAAGAACAAATACTAGAACAACAAGTGCTGAAACTTGGTAATATTGAATAAGAATAATAGCAGTGAATAACCTCTTAAGTGACTTGTTAAAGACAAAAGCACCCAATATTTGAAATATAAGCGGAAAAAAAATTGTACACACAAAGAAACAATCATTATACCAAATTTCGATTACTAAGATAATTGAAGGCAAGAGAATATCTAACCTCAATACTCCGTTGTGCCCCTAGTTCATTGACAACCTTAACACTATCCTTTGAGCCATAATGCTGCTGCTTCTCACGAGACTGCTTCCGACTTGTTTTCTTTTTGACTGGTGCTGCTGCAACAGCCACAACATTATCACTCTTGGCATTTGCCTGCTCCTCCGACTCTTGAGCAAGCAGCACTGACATGCGCATCTATGAAGAAAAATTATAAAAGTTATATACAGTATGGATATTTGCTACTGTGCTAGAGAAAAAATATAAGATAAGCAGCAGCACTGTGCTAGGTTTATCAAACCGACCATTTCAATAAATAGGGAGAACAGGCAAGACCCGCTTTACAGTGCTTTGTTTACGCGCTTCGCTAATGCATCAGTTTTCAAGCATTCCCATTCTTCATTTATTCAGACTTCATACAATAAATATATTCAACACTCACTATAAGCTATGGATGAAAATATTTTTAAGTATATGTGTAATTGTATATGCAATTTTTAAGCCTAGCTCTAGTGCTCACTTAACATATGATAGTGAAAATGTGTTATTAGGTTTTTACATAAATTTGAAAGTGAAAAAGGCAACATTTCACTTTACAGCAGTAGCCTTGAACCTAACCTGATGTATCAGCGGGGCCCTATAGTAGCCCAGAACCCAACCTGCTGTATCAGTGGGGCCCTATAGTAGCCCAGAACCCAACCTGCTGTATCAGTGGGGCCCTACAGTAGCCCAGAACCCAACCTGCTGTATCAGCAGGGCCCTACAGTAGCCCAGTATGGAACCTGTTGTATCAGCGGCCATACAGTAGCCGGGAACCCAACCTGCCATATCAGCGGGACCCTACAGTAGCCCAGAACCCAACCTGCTGTATCACCGAGGCACTACAGTGGCTGGAACCTAAACTCGTGTATCATTATTATTATTATAATCAAGGGGAAGCCAAACCCAACGCATTATACATGGCCTGGGGGGGGGATGTGAAAGCATCTAGCTTAATTCCGGGAACTGGAAGCACAGATCAATTTCTAAATCAAGGAGAAGCCCCCAACCAACATCTGAGGAACATTCCTTAAGGGGGGAATCGAGTCATCACAGGACCTTCATTGAGAGGAACCTGCTGTATCAGCAAGCCCTACAGTAGCCCAGAACCTGCTGTATCAGTGAGCCCTACAGTAGCCTGGAACCTAACCTGCTGTATCAGCGAGGCCCTACAGTAGCTCAGAACCTAACCCGCTGTATCAGCGAGACCCTACAGTAGCCCAGGACCTAACCTCCTGGGCCCTACAATAGCCAGGAATCTAACCCGCTGTAGCAGCAGGGCTTACAGTAGCCTGCAACCTAACCTGTTCTATCACTGGAGCCCTATAGTAGCCCAGAAACTAACCTGCTCTATCACCAGGGCCCTACAGAAGCCCAGAACCTAACCTGCTGTATCAGCAAGGCCCTACAGCAGCCCTGAGCCTAACGTGCTGTATCAGCAGGGCCCTACAGTAGCTCGGAGCCTAACCTGATGAATCTGCAGGGTGCTACAGTAGCCTGGAAGCTAACCTGCTGTATCAGCTAGGCTCTACAGAACCCTGGAACCTAACCTGCAGTATTTGCAGGGCCCTACAGTAGCTCAGGGCTTAACCTGCTGTATCAGCAGGGCCCTACAATAGCCCAGAACATAAGAACATATGAAAGAAGGAACACTGCAGCAGGCCTACTGACCCATGTGAAGTAGGTCCATGTCACTCTCCGGCTTAACCCAATGACCCACCTAGTCAGGTCACTTCCACTTAAGGAAGGAGCACGGTATTAGACCTAGTAGCACAAGCTAGTCAGGTCCAACTCACACACACTGGTGTATTTCTTTCTTTCTTTCAACACACCTGCCGTATCCCACCGAGGCGGGGTGGCCCAAAAGGAAAAACGAAAGTTTCTCCTTTTACATTTAGTAATATATACAGGAGAAGAGGTTACTAGCCCCTTGCTCCCAGCATTTTAGTCACCTCTTACAACACGCATGGCTTACAGAGGCAGAATTCTGTTCCACTTCCCCATGGAGATAACAGGAAATAAAGAAGAACAAGAATTAGTAAGAAAATAGAAGAAAACCCAGAGGGGTGTGTATATATATATGCTTGTACATGTATGTGCAGTGTGACCTAAGTGTAAGTAGAAGTAGCAAGACGTACCTGAAACCTTGCATGTTTATGAGACAGAAAAATGGACACCAGCAATCCTACCATCATGTAAAACAATTACAGGCTTTTGTTTTACACTCACTTGGCAGGTAGTACCTCCCTGGGCAGTTGCCGTCTACCAACCTACTACCTAGAACTGGTGTATTTATCTAACCTATTTTTAAAACTACACAACGTTTTAGCGTCTATAACTGCACTCGGGAGTTTGTTCCACTTATCCACAACTCTATTACCAAACCAGTGCTTTCCTATATCTTTCCTGAATCTGAATTTTTCCAACTTGAAACCATTTCTGCGAGTCCTGTCTTGGCTGGAAATTTCAGCACACTATTTACATCCCCCTTTATTTATTCCTGTTTTTCATTTATACACCCCACTGTATCAGCAGGACACTACAGTAGCCCAGAACCTAACCTGTTGTATCAAGGGGTCCCTACATTAGCCCAGAGCCTAGCCTGCTGTATCAGCAGGGCCCCTACAGTAACCCAGAATCTAACCTCCTATATCAGCAGGGCCCTACAGTAGCCAAGAATCTAACCTCCTATATCAACAGGGCCCTACTGTAGCACAGAACCTAACCTGCTGTATCAGCAGCACCCTACATTAGCCTGAAGCCTAACCTGCTGTATCAGCGGGGCCCCTACAGCAGCCCAGAACCTAACCAGCTGTATCAGCGGGGCCCTATAGTAGCCTGCAACCTAACCTGCTGTATCATGGCCCTACAGTAGCCCACAACCTAACCTGCTGTATCATCATGGCTCTACAGTAGCCCAGAACCTAACCTGCTGTATCAGTGAGGCCCTACAGTACTGGTAACATGGATTTATTACAAAACTCACAAGAGGATTAAAATTAACTTGCAATGATGTTTTTTGGTTAAAATATTCATATATGACTCATCATGAATATAATTAGTGCACACTTTTATGTGATTCTGTCAGTCAGCCAGAGGAAGGGTACTTTGGTGTATGAAGGTGACCATTCCTTGACTATGCCATGGCAGAAACAAGACTGTTCTCTCTAACTGTTATTATTTTTTTAACCCACCGGCCATCTCCCACCAAGGCAGGGTGACCCCAAAAAACAAAAAAAAAAAACTCTCACCATATCATTGTCTTTGCAGAGGCCATGCAGATATGGCAGTTCAAATGTCACTCCAAACCGCATGTATCTCAAACCCCTCCCTCAAAGTGTAGGTATTGTACTTCCCACCTCCAGGACTCAAGTCTGGCTAACCAGTTTCCCTAAATCCCTTCACAAAATATTACCCTGCTCACACTCCAACAACTTGTCATGTCCCAAAAACCATTCATTTTTATTCACTCCTATCTATTAGGACATGCTCACACATGCCAAAAATCTTTAGATCATACTGCATCTGGGTTAGGTTAGGTAAGGTTTGTCAGGAAGCACTTGTTCCTGACCCGCGTCAGGACGTGGGTCTTAGATGATGACCCGCCGTTAGAGCTTTTGGTCATCTAACTGGAGGCCTTCCACTGTCTTACTGGCCCACCCCTTTAAAAATTATGGTCATAATTATAACCATTTAGTTAAAGCATCCAGGGAATAGGAGGTAATTAGTTCTGATTAAAAGAAGGGAAGGGTAGATGCAATTCCTTGATGATCATGATAATCTTTAAGATGATTATTATCATGATGATCAATCTGATCAATCAGGCTACTACTGATGGTGACCAGCAGGCCTACAAATCCATTACTACCTGAATGAACTGGCACTACTTTGACCGCTCTGATGTTCAATGTGGAGATTAACACAGTACATAAGATCTGCTGTATTATATAAATTCTTTTTAAAAACCACAAGTTCTAATAACACTACAAGGTCCTCAGGTGGCTCCTGGTCAACCAAGTTGTATTACAGACAATGGACTGCATAAGACTAGCACCAACAGCCTGGTTGATCAGTCTATTCATTGTGAAGCCTAGTCTAGGCTCAGGACACAGGGGAACTGACCCCAGAAACCATTAGTATACACTAAGGTATATAATCCCTACTGCTCTACATTCTTAACAAGGAATTCTATATAACATAACAGTCCACTACATGATAAGAATACAGTGTAATGGTACACTACAAAGTTTCCTGATCTAATCCTCACCTCAGTTACAACATTGGAGAGATTATTTGAGTCACATGAGCTAGGTGGACGGTCAGTCTGCGTGGTTGAATCTTCCACCGTGCCAGTCCCAGCTCGAACATTTATACTCTCAATGAAACACCTGCAACATAAAAAAATGTGCCATAATTACAACTCTATTACTAAATGTAAAAAGAAGAAGGGAATGATGATGAAAGTGTTTCCTCTTCTTCGGGTCACCCCGCCTCGGTGGGAACTGGCCTGCATGATAATAAAAATAATAAAAAAAAAGAAGAGCTGTATAAGGTTTTCTTCTTTTTCAAGTCATCCTGACTGGTGAGAGATGACCTGTATGTTGGAGAAACAATTACAACTTGATAAAGTAGCTAGAAAAACCAAAGAAACAGGCTGCTCCTGTTTATTATCACAAAATTTAGGATTCACTATATGCTAATATAGTTAATTTTCAAGATGTAAATGAGTTGTCCTTGGTTTCTCAACTTACAAATATTGCAATAATACAGAAGGTACCCAAGTTACAAATTAGATATAGTATTCCTAGTTTTTTATTTACGAGTTATATTTATAAGTGAGGTTCCTAAGTTGCGAGTTGTGTATCTGGTTTTCAACGTGCAACTAAGCTGTTTGTATAAAAAACAATAGTACATGGCTGTCTTCAAGAGGGAGCTGGAGAGATACTTCAAGTCAGTGCCGGATCAGCAAGGCTGTGGTTCGTATGTTGGACTACGTGCGGCCAGCAGTAACAGCCTGGTTGATTAGGCCCTGATCCACCGGGAGGCCTGGTCATGGACCAGGCCACTGGGGTGTTGATCCCTGGTATACCCTCTAGGTAGACATAAGGAGAATTGTTTTACATGCTCATACTGTAATATGATCAATCTTAACCCTTTCATTAGCTGTGCTGTAGTATTACGGATTTAAAGTCACTGTCTGTGACGTACTATGCCAAGAGTTCAGCTCACTCAGATAAGCTGCAAGCAGTAAATTTGCGCCTAGATATGAGAGAATGGGTCTATGTGGTAAGTGTGCACTATATAAAAAATCCTGCAGCACACAGTACATAAAGAGAAAAAACTGCAACCGTTTCTTTGTATTTTCTTATGGTTTTAAGTTCATATTCTCGGTTTCTTGGTCTCATTTTATAGAATGGAAGATGTATTACAGAAATAGAGATGATTCTGATTGGTTCCAGGACAGAAAATAGCTTGAAATTGAGTTCAAAGTAGCAGACAAGTTCAATTTTTGCCAATATTCAAGAGTGAACATGTATCATAAAAGGTGGCTAAAATGCAGGGAGCAAGGGGCTAGTAACCCCTTCTCCTATATAAATTACTAAATATAATAAAATCATGGTAAACAGGTGATATCACAAAAAAAGAGAAGAAAAATTTTATAGTTTTATTATTTTTTTGGGTCACCCTGCCTTGGTGGGAGACAGCCAGAATGTTGAAAAAAAAAATTCCTTTGTGTATTAAGTTGTTTAAACAGACAAATCAGCCAGGTTGTTACATTTACATTACCTGGATGTTTCATTACGAATGTGAGGCTCAGATGGGGCATCAGCGGCATTCTGGGGCAGCTGGACGTACATCTCGTGGGCTGGAGGGGCAGTGGGCTGCTGAGGTGTAACAGATGGACCATTGAGAGCCTCGATGAGTGAAACTGCCTCATAACCCGCTGGTACATTATCCCCACCCTAAGATATTTAACAAAATGGAATAAACAATCTGGGATAAATTTCTGTAAATTAAATCATTCAACGTCTTTTGTAAAAATAAAAATAACACCCCACTACTGTTCTTTCAAATAACAGTAAAATTATTATTATCACATACAATGATTCACAATCTGTAGTTAGTATGTAATTATTAAAGATTACAACCATAATTTATCTCAAAGACAATTTTGCTGTACACAACAGAGTGGAAGTCTCCTCCACAAGGTTACAAACACTGAGAATTGTATATTTCTCAATGTATGTATTTATGTATGTTGAAAGTTTACTTTAATCATTATTTTTGGGATTAAAGGATTTTTGCCTAGTAATGGAAAGGTTACATGCAACCTTAATAAGACACATGTAGCAGATGGTCTTCAATCCTAATCAATTATGTATTTACAGATTTATACTTTGTACATTCCATCCCCAACACCCCACTCACCCATACATACCTACATACATTCACTCAAACTTTCTATATTTTCCTTGGCTCTGTTCTTTACCTCTCATTAAGCCCACAGCATACTGTACTCCAGAAAACCAGTTTCCATTCTCTATCTACCGAAAGTAATATTCATACTGCTTCCTTTATTTTCTTTAGCACAATTTCTTTATTCAGGCAGCAATTAACTGGCTGAACAATTGATCTCACAAGGAAAGTCTGGCCTCTGTGACAATGTTTTACATAATTTAGAACTTTTCTCTTTAATGCCTTTGCATATACACCTACCATCCGACTTACAATCGAGTTCGGTTCCGAGAAACCGGTCGTAAGTCGAAATGGTCGTAAGTCGAACTTTACTACTGAATATCAACAAAACATTTTTGTAATGACTTTATTTTATTGTTTTATTTTGGTATTTCATGTTTTACTTTACTTTTTATGTTGTTAGTACTGTATTTTATACTGTAAGGTTTAGGATAAACACTGTGTACAACACAAATAGTTGTTTATTTCCCAGAAATTTGGCATAAAAAACACGGTCGTAAGTTGAGTGGTCGTAAGTTGAGCAGGTCATGAGTCGGATGGTAGGTGTATATATGTACGTGAACTTAGATTAAGTTGTAATAAATAACTGCCAATGGATAAACAGAAGGATGGATGAGGGGCTCAAAACTGTGGTCCATAATTTGACAGTCCATTGCTCTAACATCTGGGCTACTGAGCTTCTAACAAGATGATCTCAGTAGTAGTACCTTGGTACATGCTCCAAACACACCTACTGGCAACCTCTACACAGCCTGAGAGATTTAACAATAGATCTATTCTCACTTAGCCCAGATGGCAGAGCGATGGGACCACTTTATTTGCAAATGATGAAGTTGGTTTGCTTATTACATACCAGTAATGTGTAAATTATAATTTATAATAGTTACTAATCATTCTAAAGCAATCTGGGAACCAGTTTTCTGATGTGGGTAGGGGAAGTACATTTTACTGGTCCCACAGCACTGAAACCACAACTTACCAGTAACTCAAAGCCTAACCGTGTTCCTGACCTTGAGCATATAATGCACCTTATATGCCGAAAAATACAGTACACTATTTGTATATTTACAGGTGCTTAATTATCACTATAAAGTCTACAGACTGAAGCTTTGTCACCGATACAAGCTTGCTCTGCACTTGTGTATTTTCCTCATTACTGCTGATAGTATGCCTATGTAACTGCTGGACTGAATCTACAGCTAAAACACTAGTTTCACTCCATATCTGAATGGGCCAAACTTAATCTTATAACCAACTCTTGCTACACCTTCAGAAATATTAAAAAAATATATTCCATATTGAAAATAAAGAAATTAACAGTTATGAAGCAAAAAATTTTAAGTGAATAATTACGGGTAATTTTGAAAGGCTTGCTGTATAAAAAGTTGAGTCCTAACTAGAGGCAACACTGTACTGAATAGATCATCAATTATCCATCATATATCTTTGATGAGTTACGAGAGCTTTTCTACTCCCAGAGCCCAGCCTTAGGCCAGGTTCTACCAGGCTTGCCTGGTGCTTGCCTGGTCAACCAAGCAAGCGAAAGTGAACTGGATTTTTAAAAATACTAGATAATTTTATCATTTCTTAATGTCCCTGCTGTTTGCAATATTCAGTTATCAAATGACTTGGTCAAGTGCTCTGTGTGAAAAATACCATTGCATAATGTTAAATATAGAATAAGGGATTGTTGGATAATCAGTGATCTATTGTATATATATATTAGTTCAATTCTACTCCTTCCAAAACAGTAAGGACAATATTTGTGTAGTTTAGAAGCATGCAAGGAATGCTGTGTAAGCAAATCATTCATGTTGACAAGAAATAACCCTTCAAGGGAGTGCCTTGATGCTGGTCAAGGGCTTTTAATCCACAGAACTGGAGCTAACCTCCCCTTCTGAGGATAATCCTCCCCATCCCAGGCATGGTATGACTACTAGTGCTTCCCCATAAATACAACAAGATAACAAACATGCCATTAATAAAGCCATACCAAAGCATTAGAGGTATGCACACCCTCCTCGTCTCCCTCAGACGCAGCATGGAGGATGGAAATTGCCACAAAGGAAGACCTCTCAGCCTAAAGACACAGCCAACAGATAAGGCAGATGTGTTAAGAGCACATTAAACTTGCAATAACAGAAGTGTATACCTACCATAACTAACTCCTATCAAAGAATAATTTTTGTCACATCAAATGTTTACCAACTACAAGGGTGACCCAAAAAAATAAACTATACACAATTAAACACTATCTGTAATTTTATTAGTAATGGCACTTCAATAATACTGTAGTCTAATAAACGGAAAGACTACAGTGAAATGTTTTTTATCAGGAAATAGTAATTTTAAGGCATTCATATGTTTATATATTAACAATTTTAAATTTTCATACTCCATAATGCTCCTACCATAATAAATATGGATAACCTATTCAAAATGGTACAATTGCAAATGCTTTTAAAAAGTCTATGGTAGACAAGATCAAGCCATGACTTGTGAGCTGATTACAGCTCTTATACCCATTCAATGCGGCTAATGAGATAATCACACCACTGTTTTAAAGACATACGTAGTCATCTGGCAACTTTTTTTAGCATTCCTCTGAAAGATATCTTAAGTAACAAAGGTTTGGTCACCCCTGGTCTATACATACAAGAGCCCCTACAACTATGAATATTCTGTCTTGAACAAGGAACCCCCATGACTATGAATATTCTATCTCAAAACAACCTATCTTGTATTTTTTTTTTAGCACACTAGCCATATCCCACCAAGGCAGGGTGACCTAAAAAGAAAAATGAATTTTTCTTTTAAAATTTAGTAATTTATGCAGGAGAAGGGGTTACTAGCCCCTTGCTCCCAGCATTTTAACCCCCCTATGACATGCATGGCTTACGGAGGAAGAATTCTGTTCCACTTCCCCATGGAGATAAGAGGAAATAAAGAAGAACAAGAATTATTAAAAAATAGAAGAAAACCCAGATGGGTGTGCGTGTGTATACGTATATATATGCATGTATATTCATGCGTAGTGTGACTTGGTGACAGTGTAACCTATGTGCAAGTAGAAGTAGCAAGATATACCTGTTATCCTGCATGTTTATGAGACAGAAAAAAAAGACAACAGCAATCCTACCATCATGTAAAACAATTACAGGTTTCTGTTTCACACTCACTTGGCAGGATGGTAGTACCTCCCTGGGTGGTTGCTGTTTATCAACCTACTACCTAGGATCTTGTAAATTATTTTTTTTTTTTTTTTTATTATCACACCGGCCGATTCCCACCAAGGCAGGGTGGCCCGAAAAAGAAAAACTTTCACCATCATTCACTCCATCACTGTCTTGCCAGAAGGGTGCTTTACACTACAGTTTTTAAACTGCAACATTAACACCCCTCCTTCAGAGTGCAGGCACTGTACTTCCCATCTCCAGGACTCAAGTCCGGCCTGCCGGTTTCCCTGAATCCCTTCATAAATGTTACTTTGCTCACACTCCAACAGCACGTCAAGTATTAAAAACCATTTGTCTCCATTCACTCCTATCAAACACGCTCACGCATGCCTGCTGGAAGTCCAAGCCCCTCGCACACACAAAACCTCCTTTACCCCCTCCCTCCAACCCTTCCTAGGCCGACCCCTACCCCGCCTTCCTTCACTACAGACTGATACACTCTTGAAGTCATTCTGTTTCGCTCCATTCTCTCTACATGTCCGAACCACCTCAACAACCCTTCCTCAGCCCTCTGGACAACAGTTTTGGTAATCCCGCACCTCCTCCTAACTTCCAAACTACGAATTCTCTGCATTATATTCACACCACACATTGCCCTCAGACATGACATCTCCACTGCCTCCAGCCTTCTCCTCGCTGCAACATTCATCACCCACGCTTCACACCCATATAAGAGCGTTGGTAAAACTATACTCTCATACATTCCCCTCTTTGCCTCCAAGGACAAAGTTCTTTGTCTCCACAGACTCCTAAGTGCACCACTCACTCTTTTTCCCTCATCAATTCTATGATTCACCTCATCTTTCATAGACCCATCCGCTGACACGTCCACTCCCAAATATCTGAATACGTTCACCTCCTCCATACTCTCTCCCTCCAATCTGATATTCAATCTTTCATCACCTAATCTTTTTGTTATCCTCATAACCTTACTCTTTCCTGTATTCACCTTTAATTTTCTTCTTTTGCACACCCTACCAAATTCATCCACCAATCTCTGCAACTTCTCTTCAGAATCTCCCAAGAGCACAGTGTCATCAGCAAAGAGCAGCTGTGACAACTCCCACTTTGTGTGTGATTCTTTATCTTTTAACTCCACGCCTCTTGCCAAGACCCTCGCATTTACTTCTCTTACAACCCCATCTATAAATATATTAAACAACCACGGTGACATCACACATCCTTGTCTAAGGCCTACTTTTACTGGGAAAAAATTTCCCTCTTTCCTACATACTCTAACTTGAGCCTCACTATCCTCGTAAAAACTCTTCACTGCTTTCAGTAACCTACCTCCTACACCATACACTTGCAACATCTGCCACATTGCCCTCCTATCCACCCTGTCATACGCCTTTTCCAAATCCATAAATGCCACAAAGACCTCTTTAGCCTTATCTAAATACTGTTCACTTATATGTTTCACTGTAAACACCTGGTCCACACACCCCCTACCTTTCCTAAAGCCTCCTTGTTCATCTGCTATCCTATTCTCCGTCTTACTCTTAATTCTTTCAATTATAAACTCTACCATACACTTTACCAGGTACACTCAACAGACTTATCCCCCTATAATTTTTGCACTCTCTTTATCCCCTTTGCCTTTATACAAAGGAAACTATGCATGCTCTCTGCCAATCCCTAGGTACCTTACCCTCTTCCATACATTTATTAAATAATTGCACCAACCACTCCAAAATATATCCCCACCTGCTTTTAACATTTCTATCTTTATCCATCAATCACCGGCTGCCTTACCCCCTTTCATTTTACCTACTGCCTCACGAAACTTCCCCCACACTCACAACTGGCTCTTCCTCACTCCTACAAGATGTTATTCCTCCTTGCCCTATACACGAAATCACAGCTTCCCTATCTTCATCAACATTTAACAATTCCTCAAAATATTCCTTCCATCTTCCCAATACCTCTAACTCTCCATTTAATAACTCTCCTCTCCTATTTTTAACTGACAAATCCATTTGTTCTCTAGGCTTTCTTAACTTGTTAATCTCACTCCAAAACTTTTTCTTATTTTCAACAAAATTTGTTGATAACATCTCACCCACTCTCTCATTTGCTCTCTTTTTACATTGCTTCACCACTCTCTTAACTTCTCTCTTTTTCTCCATATACTCTTCCCTCCTTGCATCACTTCTACTTTGTAAAAACTTCTCATATGCTAACTTTTTCTCCCTTACTACTCTTTACATCATCATTCCACCAATCGCTCCTCTTCCCTCCTGCACCCACTTTCCTGTAACCCACAAACTTCTGCTGAACACTCTAACACTACATTTTTAAACTACCCCATACCTCTTCGACCCCATTGCCTATGCTCTCATTAGCCCATCTATCCTCCAATAGCTGTTTTATATCTTACCCTAACTGCCTCCTCTTTTAGTTTATAAACCTTCACCTCTCTCTTCCCTGATGCTTCTATTCTCCTTGTATCCCATCTACCTTTTACTCTCAGTGTAGCTACAACTAGAAAGTGATCTGATATATCTGTGGCCCCTCTATAAACATGTACATCCTGAAGTCTACTCAACAGTCTTTTATCTACCAATACATAATCAACAAACTACTGTCATTTCGCCCTACATCATATCGTGTATACTTATTTATCCTCTTTTTCTTAAAATATGTATTACCTATAACTAAACCCCTTTCTATACAAAGTTCAATCAAAGGGCTCCCATTATCATTTACACCTGGCACCCCAAACTTACCTACCACACCCTCTCTAAAAGTTTCTCCTACTTTAGCATTCAAGTCCCCTACCACAATTACTCTCTCACTTGGTTCAAAGGCTCCTATACATTCACTTAACATCTCCCAAAATCTCTCTCTCTCCTCTGCATTCCTCTCTTCTCCAGGTGCATACACGCTTATTATGACCCACTTCCGCATCCAACCTTTACTTTAATCCACATAATTCTTGAATTTACACATTCATATTCTCTTTTCTCCTTCCATAACTGATCATTTAACATTACTGCTACCCCTTCCTTTGCTCTAACTCTCTCAGATACTCCAGATTTAATCCCATTTATTTCCCCCCACTGAAACTCTCCTACCCCTTCAGCTTTGTTTCGCTTAGGGCCAGGACATCCAACTTCTTTTCATTCATAACATCAGCAATCATCTGTTTCTTGTCATCCGCACTACATCCACGCACATTTAAGCAACCCAGTTTTATAAAGTTTTTCTTCTTCTCTTTTTTAGTAATTGTATACAGGAGAAGGGGTTACTAGCCCATTGCTCCCGGCATTTTAGTCGCCTCATACGACACGCATGGCTTACGGAGGAAAGATTCTTTTCCACTTCCCCATGGACAATAGAAGAAATAAAAAAGAACAAGAGCTATTTAGAAAAAGGAGAAAAACCTAGATGTATGTATATATATATATGCATGTGCGTGTCTGTGAAGTGTGACCAAAGTGTAAGTAGGAGTAGCAAGATATCCCTGTTATCTTAGCGTGTTTATGTAAATTATAATTGTTAATTTGTTTTAATTCTGCTCCCATCTAAGTATAAAATCCACCACCATTATACTTGCTCATGGTATGTATAATATGAGCATCGCAAAAGAAACAAAGTGAAACCAAGGTACAGTAGGACCCCACTTTATGGCGTTTCGCCTTACAGCGTTCCGCTAATGCGGACATTTCAAATTATGACCAAAACTCTCTATGTGGCTCCCCCCCCCCCATTGTCGTCCCTTGTGCAAGTAAATTTCATACATTCAAGTTCATCAGAGTAGTAGATGGCAGTGCCTCCTCCTAGTTGGCCAGGCCTGCAGTTATGTATGGCTGTGTAACCAGGTACGGTAAATGTCTCTCAAATCTTGTTTGAGCCAGGTTTCAGTAAGAATAATGAAAGTTACAGAAGCATTTAGAGACTTCAGTAATGCAAGGAGGTCATCACAGTGTTTACTCAATGATCTAATATTATAATTGAAAACTGTAATGGTCTTGCTGGCACTTAGTAGAGTTCTAGCCTGACTAGCCGTGTAGTAATGGCAATTACTGTTAGGATTATTTGTGCAGTTTAGTAAGAGGTTGATATCAGGATCAATATTTGCCTTCATAAGAGGTATGTAGAGAAATAAACTGCTGCAATTATCAAAAAATAAAAAACATTTACTGTTAACCCTTAAACTGTCCAAACGTATATCTACGTTTTTTCAACATTTGAAAGTATGTAAAAAAAACGTATATCTATTTTTTACATTTGAAAACGTGTAAAAAAAACTTTGATCTACTTTTTTTTTTTGTTATACAGTGTACCCCCGCTTTACGATCACCTCCCAATGCGACCAATTATGTAAGTGTATTTATGTAAGTGCGTTTGTACGTGTATGTTTGGGGGTCTGAAACGGACTAATCTAATTCACAATATTCCTTATGGGAACAAATTCGTTCAGTACTGGCACCTGAACATACTTCTGGAATGAAATAATATCGTAAACCGGGGGTCCACTGTATTTGAAAATACATAAAAAAAACGTAGATCTACTTTTGGAGCACTACACATGTGAACGTAAATCTGTTTGGGCAGTTTAAGGGTTAACCACTAACAAATATGAATATATGGACTAAGTTAATTATTTTAAAGCTAAAAATAAAGGAGCTACTGAATATAAAAAATAAAACAAAGAAAAATAACACTTTAGCACCTGATTTATCACCATAATTAGCAACTTATGTGGCTAAGTACATGAGAATCAATTACTGCTAATCACTAACAAAAATGAAAATTTGGATTAAGATTAATATTAAAGCTAAAAATGTACGAGGCACTGGGTATACAGTGCAAAGATTCAATCAAAAAGTTAACTCTTTGGCACGTGATTTAGCACCTTTTCTTTAGCACCTAATGCTGCTAAGTAACATACACTTTTAAGGATATAGTAAAACATACACTTGTAATAATTTAAGTAATCACTTAAGACAATAGAGTCAGACAAATAAAAGGAATGGGGTATATTGCACTATACTAAAGCACTGCACATGGTTGATCATGTGTTGAGATGCAGGTTAACAAGATTCAGTCAGACCAGTGAAGTAAGGAAATATACTAGTTCTTGTTCATTTGTTATTTCAAACCTGCGACCCAAGTCTGATAATTTTACCATGATTATGCCATCACACGTGAAACACTGTTTAATTGCCATATTGTTATCACGCTTAAATTTTCGAAGTCTGTATAGTAGGTTCTGTCACTTTCTAGTTAGGCACTCATTAACATACACATTACTCTTTTTCTTGACGAAGAAACTTATTAGGTCCTTTTCTACATCAATGGAATTGAATCTTAACATAACACTTTACTTTTGACCCAGCCTGCCTAGCAGCTGGGCCTCCTTGATATGGCTGGTTTCAATGCTGATATTTATCTCATCTCACCTCTCACCCTACATTAAGACTACAAATATTTTGAGGCAAGTAATGAGTGTACTGTTTGTGTATTTTACTTTTTATTGTTTTTTAATGCCTAGTTCTATTGCTAACTTAATATATATTAGTGTAAACTTGTTATCTCGCATTTATATGCATTTAGTAGTGGAAAAAATGGCGTTCTGTTTTCCGGCGATGTCCGCTTTCTAATGGTAGCCTGCAACCTAACCTGCCCTATAACTGGGGCCCTACTGTATAATGAAGGACTAGGCACAAGGGGATGTTAGTTTTAACAAAAATTCATTGCATCAAAATGCCCTATGCAGAGGATTTTCATCATTGCATCGAGTATTTGTTTGGTTAAATATTTTGTCCATTGTATCCGAAATCTGTTACATAAGGGTCCCTTTTATTGAGGTTTTACTGTAGCTGTGTTTCCCTGTCATATTCCATCACACAGGATGAGTCACATAGTATTGAAATGTGTCAGTCTGAAATGGGAGACTTCAGTAAGACAATGAAGATTTCTTTAAGTATTAACCCTTTCAGGGTCCACAGGTCCTCTCAGAAACTGTTCTCAGGGTCCCCCAAATTTCAAAAAAAAAAAAAAAAAAAATTCTTATGAAAAGATAGAGAATCTTTTCCCGATCATAATGACACCAATAGTATGAAATTTGATGGAAAACTTACGGAATTATGCTCTCGCGAAGTTAGCGGTCTCGACGATGTTTATGCATCGGCAATTTTGCCCACTTTGAGCCCTATTTTCAGCCAATTCCAATGTACTAGTCGACAAAAATCATAACTATTTTGCTAGAACTCCATTTTTTCTATCGAATGAGTACAAGAAACCACCAATTTACCGATTTCAACTATCCAATACAGTGGTCAGAATTTGCAATTTTGCCAATTTCACACAATTTTTAAAAGATGCCCAAAAATTTCCCAAATAGGGTCCAGAATAAACAAGAAAGACATTCCTGGGCACTAAAATTATCATTTCCTTTTGTTCATTAGTCACGTCCCAGGCCCTCTTACATTTTGTTTTGCTTTATTTTGACTTATTCTACAAAAAAAAAAGATTTACTTATCAGATACTGCATTAGTTGAAAGAAATTGATATAAAACAATATCACCAAATTGTGAAAGAATATTAGACTCACAGTTAACGGATCGGACGTAGCATGATTTGTTACTTTTGAACTTTGGTTAAAAATCGAAAATTTTTTGCTTACTTTGAGCTCAATTTCAAGGTACTTTCATTGTAAAACCAGTAAAAAATATCTCAATTTCTGTAATATGTCTTCCATTCTAAAAATGAACCAGAAAACTAGAATACAAACAAAAAAATACCATACGAAAATATAGTGCAAAAAAACTATGCTTTAATCCAAAAAACACGGTCAAAGTTTTTTTTATCATTATGCACTGTGTGCTGCAGGATTTTTTATACTGCAACATAACCACATAGACCATTCTTTTATATGTAGGCCTACCCCGCTTTCTCTCACTAGTTTGAAGGCACTAGAATTTATGCGTACTGTACGTCATGGACACTGTGCAAAGCGTACTAGTACATCCATTCACGTATGACAGCTATTAAAGGGAAATTTTGGGAAAAACAATGCTTTTAATAACAGCATTTGCTTATTATTTCCAAGGAGTAACTACTGAGATAGTTCAGCATGTAAAAATTTACCCCTCAAAGTAGTAATTCTTTGTGAGGGCTCTTGATCTAAAGGAACTGGAGTACCAAACCTTCTTTTTGATCAAAATAGATTACTTCCCATAAGCCGGCCTGTATTTATCCCTACAGATTCAGTGGTTTTTTATTATTTAAAAATAGTGCAAAATATAATTTCCCCAACTGATCACTCTGGTATTCAATACTCTCCTTACTTCAAAACACCTGTGAAGAACAGTACTCGGGCTTTTAACAACAAACATGCAACAGTAGGCATACTACAATAAACAAAATTTAAAGCAGCACAGTAGGCAGAAAAGCTAAAACCTCAGCCTGGAGGCGAGGGGACTACCCCAGACTGGCTGGATTGTTGCAGCTGCAGAGCTCTTCTCAAGGCTTTTTCTGGAGGAGAGCCTGAAGGGTGCACGACAAATAGGCAGTTGTTGGCTTGGACCTGAAAAAAAATAATACAAGCACCGAATGAATGAGTGAGGTATCTTTTTTTTTTTTTGTCACCTACTAATAGAAGAAAACTAGCCATAACTACCATCTCCAAATATTAATGGCTAAAAAACGAAAAAATTTTAAACCCAACTGTATATTGCTGAAGTTAATCAAATACAAGCTTCAAAATACTTGAAAATTTTTAACGAACCTCACACAAATTTATTTGGATTTTTTTTTCCATTTTGTCATTATAATGTAAGTACAAATGTCAAAACCAATGATTATAAATACAAAGAGCACTAAACTCATAGAGGGCAAAGCCCGCTAACCACATTTAAAAGAGCAGTTTTAAAAAAGAATTTTAATGTTAATTGGATCAGGAAAAACCTGATGCAATTAAAAAAAATTTTCCTGTAAATCTATAATAAATTTACAAACTGCTGTGGCTTCTGTCATTTTAATTAAAAATAAATTTATAAAACATTACTTTTTTTTTTTCAAGAAAGAAAAAAAAAAAAAAAATCAGGGGAAAATTTTCTCAGCTAAAGGTTTTGGGTTTTTTTGGGTTTTTGGAGTTTGGGGGCCCAAATGGACAAAATTTTCTTTCCTTTTTAAAAAATTTTTCCCTAATTTGGAGAACATACTTCTGGAATGAAAAAATATTGTAAACCGGGGGTCCACTGTACTGACTAGACATTGTTCATGCTTTGTACATGTCAGAAAATTAAAATGTATGATGTAAATTATTTGATTAGTTTGTCTCAAAAGTGAATCCAAGGTTTCATCTTTGTAACTCTCAACCACATTCTGGTAACCTTACAATGTATTCTAAAGCCTATTACTTTCCATTTTTTTCATTATATGCCATTTTTGTTTTTGCATGTGTACGAAAACAGTCCAATGATGGGCTGATTTCATCAACTCCAGGCTGAGGGACTGATTACCTCAAACTCTTTCTGATCTTCACTATTCTTCTTCGTACTAGACTGATGAAGCCACTGTGTGGTGAAACATTTCCATAATAAAGAGACCCAAGTGGCACACATGTCTAATTTATCGACTTGTCAGTTCTCCGAACCATTTATCTACAAGGTACTTCCCTAGTGAAACCAACCTACTCTTTTCACATATTCTTAGAGCCACAGAGGTGAAATGAGGCCCAAACCAACATGAAAATACTTCAGTAACATTATTTATGTTTTCCATCAAATGTTTCAAAAAGTAAAGGCTGTCAATAGGACTGGAAAGATTTTTGAAAAAAGTTGCTGCCAAAATACAGGTATGTCCTTAAGAAAGTCTATCTAGAAAAATATACTTTTGTATGTAAACAGCAGAGAAAAATTTATAATGAACAAATTTAAACAAAAACCTCCTAATAAGTTTTATGTACACGAGAGAGCCTAAGTACTGCACCTGAGAGAATCGGCACAGCAATTACACAAACACAAGTGACGACACGGCAAGATCAATGTATCACGCAGGTCACACATGCAGATAACACACTCAGCTCCATTGTCCTCCGTATCTTCCTCTGTTGAAACCTGCAATTCAACCATGAGCAGAATCACTATTCATATCATATTCCAATACCCTTAACTACAGTACTACAAGATCCCTTCTCTTTATTATGCAATGTCCCACTTTTACCAGCAATTCCGTATGCATGATGATTTTTTTTCTGACAAACTGGCCGTCTCCCACCGAGGTAGGGTGACCCTGTCTTGCCACCGGGGTGTCAATATTACAGTTCAAAAATAAATATCCTCACTCCTGCTTCAGAGTACAAGCACTGTACTTCCCACCTCCAGAACTCACGTCTGGCTAACTGGTTTCCTTGAACCCCTTTATAAATGTTACCTGTGGTATACATTTACAACTTGCAATCAATGCAGTTTAAAAAATGCACTTAAGATGCTTATTAACCCTTAAATGGTTCAAACATATATATACGTTTTTTCAACATCTGAAAGTACGTAAAAAAACGTAGATCTTCTTTTTTGTTTTACATTTGAAAACATGTAAAAAAAACTTTTATCCACATTTTTTTTTTGTTATATTTGAAAATATGTAAAAAGAAGTAGATTTACTTTTGTAGCACTACGAATTTGAACGTCGATTTGTTTGGACCGTTTAAGGGTTAAGGATTGATGGCCTTATTGAGTTTAGTACATTAGTTGTTGTTCTTTCAACAAACCAGCTGTATCCCACTGAGGCAGGGTGGCCCAAAAAGAAAAACCTAAAGTTTCTCTTCATAACTTCAGTAATGTATACAGGAGAAGGGGTTACTAGCCTCTTGTTCCCGGCATTTTAGTCGCCTCTTACGACATGCATGGCTTACGGAAGAAGAATTCTGCTCCACTTCCCCATGGAGATAGTACAATAGTTATAAGCCTAGAAGACATTAACTGTACTGCATGAATCAAAGGATACTGTATTTAAATTAAAAATATGTTTAGGTACAGGTGTACTTCTACTTAATGTTCTTGAAAAACAAAATAAGTGAGGTAATGTTAACTTATTAACATTATCTCACTAAACCCCATTACAATAACCTGAAAAACTACAACTAAAAAAATAGGTTTCAAACTTAATTGTATACTGAATATATATTTAATATTCACCAAATAAAGATCAGCAGGAAACATGTCTTGGCAGCTAAATATGTCAAGTAAGGTGGTAATGCAAGCTTGTAGTATTTGAGTGCATGGCCACCTTCAATTATTTCCAGCAGAACAGAATGCTGCCTATCATAAAGACAACTGTTTCTGTCTGCCTGACAAAGCAAGTAGTTGTGCAACCTCTTATACTAGTGTCTACTCTCCTCAAACCCAAATACTAACCTATCAAACCACAATACGGGTGGGGCTTGAACTTGTGGCAAGCGGGTCAACAAACCCTGTGGTTTGTTGGCAATTGTGTCATTACAATTTCATGAGTCATACTGACCTATGTCCCTCACAAATTATGGAAAAAAAACTTTTTTATGAACATTCAACATCTGATATGGTGTGCAGCCAACTTCAATAACAGTATTTCTATACTAAAGCATTTTTGAGTGGGGGGGGGTGAGGCATGACTGTATAGGAGCAAGACAAAAGTGCTTTAGTGATATCTCCCACTTCTTCCTCAAATTCAAAGTGCCATGTAACATCAAACTTCATGTTTAAGGTAACACTGAAGAAGTCAATCATCACTATTTCCCACTGCATGGTAGAATACCACTTTGTAATGCCTGGTAAACCATCAACATCCATTTTGTTCAACAATCTCTACAGGGCAATTAAAAAAAAAATATTAAAGCTAACCTTACAATTATCTGCATTCTTGTTTTCTATGCCATAAATCTCTTGTAGAAGGTAAGAGAGGCCATCCACAAAGAGCTTCTGTTTGAGAGGCTTCAGGGCATACCCATCACTGTGCCTTTCTACCACAGCAAAAGTAACATGAGACTGACGGGGATCTGTAACAAAGAGTAAAATCATTCTAAAAAAATCATTTTTAAAAATTCATTATCTGTAACCTTTACTTATTTACACAACATGCAAAAAATATTTTTGTGATTATATTCATGAAAAGTGATACAAATGTAGGAGTCATACAAAGCCTGGGAAAAGGGAATAATCAGGCTGGATCTAAGGTGAAGATTAGCTCCAATTCCTTAAATCACAAGCCCTTCACAAGCCCCAAAGCACCAACCTCAAGGTATTTTTTGTGAATAAATAACTTAAATATTTCCTGTGTAAAAATACTTATCTTCACTAAACTAAGGTACCTATTAAACAAGGCTTTTGAGTTATACAGTCTCCCTAGTTAATGACTGCTTAGACCAGCACAACTTAATTCTCCCTAGTTAATGACTGCTTAGACCAGCACAACTTAATTCTCCCTAGTTAATGACTGCTTAGACCAGCACAACTTAATTAGTATGCTGTCAAAATACTACTGTACATGGAGAGAAATGGTATAAAATACTGATGAGATGAAAAAAGACATACAATATAATTTTCATTTTAACACACTGGCTACCCCCTACTGAGAGGTAGAGTGATGATTCAAAAAAGAAACACTTTCATCATCATTCACACTATCACTGTCTTGCCAGAGGCATGCAGATATGACAGTTCATATGTCCCTCTAAACAGCAAATACCTCAAACCCCTCCTTTAAAGTGCAGGCATTGTACTTCCCACCTCCAGGACTCAAGTCTGGCTAACCAGTTTCCCAAAATCTCTTCACAAAATATTGCCCTGGTCACACCATCCTTTACTGACAATGTTTCGCCCAGTGGGCTTTATTGAGTTTGTGGTTCGATAAAGCCCACTATGTAGGCAAAACGTTGCCAATAAAGGATCCCATTATGCTGCATTTGTGCCTTTTTTCATGCTACTGTACAATTTAATGATAGAAGATGCAAACCATGGCATGGGCAGGGATTGAATTCGCAGCTTGTGAGTCACAAAACTCCAGAGAGGCGCATTAGCCACTGGGCCAGCTGGTTACAATAAGATTCATCCAACTAGGTATATTTATACACCATAGGCATAATAAAGGCTCTCTTTGCATTGCAACCCACTATTGTAAATACAAAATCTCAATGTACTGTTTGCAAAGACATAAAATAAATAATAAATAGCACAGGCACTACTGTGACCACAAATGCAAGTTTTTACATAGGAATCTTCTGCCAGCATGGACATGATGAACTCTAGCTTAAGTCCCCTCAAAGTTATCATTAACTACATTTAATGCTTCTAGCTCGATCTACAAAATACAGTGGACCCCGGTTAACGATATTTTTTCATTCCAGAAGTATGTTCAGGTGCCAGTACTGACCGAATTTGTTCCCATAAGGAATTTTGTGAAGTAGATTAGTCCATTTCAGACCCCCAAACATACACGTACAAATGCACTTACATAAATACACTTACATAATTGGTCACATTGGGAGGTGATCGTTAAGCGGGGGTCCACTGTACTACTACTGCAAAATTATATGTTAGGTAAACCATGTCACTAGTATTTAGTCTTTTAGTGACAATTATACATACTGGAGTGAAAAAAAAGAAAAAAAGAATTACTCACCTTCTCCTTCTTCTGCAACACAATATATAACAATAGGCAGAATCTCTCTGTCAAAGCTGTACAAGAGCTCTTCTTCAGGATAGAGAGAGGGGTCGAAGACGTGACACACCTGCGAGAACTGTTGGTTTGCTCCTCGCTTATAGTGGTACGTTTCTGAATTCATGCTGGCATCACGTGGCGTGTAGCTGTGGAGACAATATATAAGCCAAACTGAAAACAATTATACACAAAATGAAATCATAAAAGTCTTACAATGAAATGGATAAAGGTAAGAGATTATGAAGAACAGTGTATTAATGACTAATGTATACCAGCATAGTAAGCCCACCACTATCATCATTAATTTTTTTTTTTTTTTTTATTATCACACTGGCCGATTCCCACCAAGGCAGGGTGGCCCGAAAAAGAAAAACTTTCACCATCATTAATACATTACTCAAAATACATTGCAAATGGATTGTCTAGAATTTACAACCCATTTTCACCCATAGACACCCAAGTTATAATCTAAGATGCATTCCTGTGCAATAATGCTATTTATCTATTTAATTTTTTTAACAAGATTTCCAGTAATTTACATTCAGTTTCTCATTACCTACTAACAGTAATAAACATCACTTACATACTGTACATCTCATGCAACCTGCATATCCTGATTGCAATCAACTTTCACATTCATGCACTTATTATTTCCAGTACTCAAAAATTATTAACTATCTCTTTCTATTAACAGTGGTGTTTTAAAATACAGTGGTACCTTGGGATACAAACTTATTTCATTCCAGAAGGCTGTTCAAGAGCTGATACCGAAAGAATTTGTTCCCAAAAATACACTTACAAAAGCATTTACATAAATAAACTTACATAATTGCTTGCGTTTTGAGCTGTGCGTATCCCGAGGTACCACTGTATTTGTACTTAAAATTATCACTTCACTTAATGATCTAATCTTCAGACAATTTAATTATATTAAACTAGGGATTCAAATGATGTAACTTTAATTACACAATGCCCAATAGCAGTAGGTTCTAGTTTTAATCTGTCCGAAATGTTTAGCATAACCAGGAGTTTTTTTTAACAAATACTTAGAACATTATAAATGTTACCTTGCTAACACTCCCAGTTTCCAGGCACTATGTCCAAACGAGTTTAGTGCTTCCCAATGATTATTATCATTAACAAAGTATTTTTTAAACCATAAATGCTCAACACAGATGAAACTGGAATGAATCGCATTAATGTAACATATTTGGCTGAAATTAATTCAAAATTTGTATTCCTTACATATCACCTGTGTTGAATATAAATGAAACTGGGTTGCTTACTTTTCCTATAAATTCTTAACAAGTATCAGTCTGATCTATTCAGTATTCAGTCTGATCTATTCAGTATTCAGTCTGATCTATTCAGTATTCAGTCTGATCTATTCAGTATTCAGTCTGATCTATTCAGTATTACAGTAGTATCACAGTAGTGTATCATACAGCATAATACACTAGAACATATTTTATCACATGTTTCCGGGCAATTATTTACCAGATTTTTTGTCTAGAACAATGGTAACTTTTAATTGTCACCCCTTAAACGTTTTTAATAGGCCCAAGACAAACTAAGATTTACCTGTGACCCCATATGTGAAAAACTTACATCATGCCACTAGTTGTAACATCCTCCGAGCAGAAGTACATGATGGTAATGGCACATCGCACATCACAATCAAATGTAAATTCTATGTTAAATCTGGAAGTAGCAGTGGTGTCGTCAGGCTCTTTTAAGGTTGCAGATTCATCGGGCGCACGGACAAATCTCAAACTTTCCTTTCTAATATTGATGAGTGCTTTCAAAGTTTTACTTGGCTCATTGGCTGTTGGAGCTGGATATGGAAACTGAAAATAAATAAAAGATTAATTAGAACATACATTTATGAAGGGATTCAGGGAAACAGCTTAGCTGGACTTGAGTCCTGGAGGTGGGAAGTACAGTGCCTGCACTCTGAAGGTGGGGTGGAGATATGTTGCAGCTTTTGAACTGTAGTGTATACATGCCTCTGGCAAGACAGTGATGGAGCGAATGATGATGAAAGTGTTTCTTCTTTTTCCGGGCACCCTGCCTTGGTGGGAACGGCTGTTATGTTAATAAAAAAAAAATATTAATAAAGAGCATTATCAAGTTTTTTTTTTTTTTTTTTTTACACAAATTAGTTAATAGGCTAAGAGCTGTTATCCTAACTCATTCAAAGCCCAGCCCTACCTGAGGTATAATACCACCCCCCAGGATCCAACCCACACCAGTCAGCTAACACCAAGGTACACCTGTTTGTTACTAGGTGAATAGGGACAGCAGGGCTGTGGTTCATATGTTGGATTGTGTGCAGCCAGCAGTAACAGCCTGGTTGATCAGGCCTTGCTCCACCATGATGCCTGGTCACAGACCGGGCCGCGGAGGTGTTGAACCCCGGAACTCTCTCCAGGTAAACTCCAGGAAACACACAAGATGTTTCCACCTGCACCAGGGACTGAACCATGGACACTCAGTGTGTGAGCTGAGTGTGCTACCTAATTACTTTATTCCTATACATATATAAATACAGCCTCTCCTTACTTACCGACGTACTCATTTACTGATGACTCGGGCTTACAACAGGCTCTCTGACCAGTATGCATACCTAAATAATGTATATTAAGAGCTGCTTTCTTTTTTTTTTTTACTTTTTATCACACTGGCCGATTCCCACCAAGGCAGGGTGGCCCGAAAAAGAAAAACTTTCACCATCATTCACTCCATCACTGTCTTGCCAGAAGGGTGCTTTACACTACAGTTTTTAAACTGCAACATTCATACCCCTCCTTCAGAGTGCAGGCACTGTACTTCCCATCTCCAGGACTCAAGTCCGGCCTGCCGGTTTCCCTGAATCCCTTCATAAATGTTACTTTGCTCACACTCCAACAGCACGTCAAGTATTAAAAACCATTTGTCTCCCTCCAAATCCTATCAAACACGCTCACGCATGCCTGTGGAAGTCCAAGCCCTCGCACACAAAACCTCCTTTAACCCCCCCCCTCCAACCCTTCCTAGGCCGACCCCTACCCCGCCTTCCTTCCACTACAGACTGATACACTCTGAAGTCATTCTGTTTCGCTCCATTCTCTCTACATGTCCGAAACCACCTCAACAACCCTTCCTCAGCCCTCTGGACAACAGTTTTGGTAATCCCGCACCTCCTCCTAACTTCCAAACTACGAATTCTCTGCATTATATTCACACCACACATTGCCCTCAGACATGACATCTCCACTGCCTCCAGCCTTTTCCTCGCTGCAACATTCATCACCCACGCTTCACACCCATATAAGAGCGTTGGTAAAACTATACTCTCATACATTCCCCTCTTTGCCTCCAAGGACAAAGTTCTTTGTCTCCACAGACTCCTAAGTGCACCACTCACTCTTTTTCCCTCATCAATTCTATGATTCACCTCATCTTTCATAGACCCATCCGCTGACACGTCCACTCCCAAATATCTGAATACGTTCACCTCCTCCATACTCTCTCCCTCCAATCTGATATTCAATCTTTCATCACCTAATCTTTTTGTTATCCTCATAACCTTACTCTTTCCTATATTCACCTTTAATTTTCTTCTTTTGCACACCCTACCAAATTCATCCACCAATCTCTGCAGCTTCTCTTCAGAATCTCCCAAGAGCACAGTGTCATCAGCAAAGAGCAGCTGTGACAACTCCCACTTTGTGTGTGATTCTTTATCTTTTAACTCCACGCCTCTTGCCAAGACCCTCGCATTTACTTCTCTTACAACCCCATCTATAACTATATTAAACAACCACGGTGACATCACACATCCTTGTCTAAGGCCTACTTTTACTGGGAAAAAATTTCCCTCTTTCCTACATACTCTAACTTGAGCCTCACTATCCTCGTAAAAACTCTTCACTGCTTTCAGTAACCTACCTCCTACACCATACACTTGCAACATCTGCCACATTGCCCCCCTATCCACCCTGTCATACGCCTTTTCCAAATCCATAAATGCCACAAAGACCTCTTTAGCCTTATCTAAATACTGTTCACTTATATGTTTCACTGTAAACACCTGGTCCACACACCCCCTACCTTTCCTAAAGCCTCCTTGTTCATCTGCTATCCTATTCTCCGTCTTACTCTTAATTCTTTCAATTATAACTCTACCATACATTTTACCAGGTACACTCAACAGACTTATCCCCCTATAATTTTTGCACTCTCTTTTATCCCCTTTGCCTTTATACAAAGGAAACTATGCATGCTCTCTGCCAATCCCTAGGTACCTTACCCTCTTCCATAACATTTATTAAATAATTGCACCAACCACTCCAAAACTATATCCCCACCTGCTTTTAACATTTCTATCTTTATCCCATCAATCCCGGCTGCCTTACCCCCTTTCATTTTACCTACTGCCTCACGAACTTCCCCCACACTCACAACTGGCTCTTCCTCACTCCTACAAGATGTTCCTCCTTGCCCTATACACGAAATCACAGCTTCCCTATCTTCATCAACATTTAACAATTCCTCAAAATATTCCCTCCATCTTCCCAATACCTCTAACTCTCCATTTAATAACTCTCCTCTCCTATTTTTAACTGACAAATCCATTTGTTCTCTAGGCTTTCTTAACTTGTTAATCTCACTCCAAACTTTTTCTTATTTTCAACAAAATTTGTTGATAACATCTCACCCACTCTCTCATTTGCTCTCTTTTTACATTGCTTCACCACTCTCTTAACCTCTCTCTTTTTCTCCATATACTCTTCCCTCCTTGCATCACTTCTACTTTGTAAAAACTTCTCATATGCTAACTTTTTCTCCCTTACTACTCTCTTTACATCATCATTCCACAATCGCTCCTCTTCCCTCCTGCACCCACTTTCCTTTAACCACAAACTTCTGCTGAACACTCTAACACTACATTTTTAAACCTACCCCATACCTCTTCGACCCCATTGCCTATGCTCTCATTAGCCCATCTATCCTCCAATAGCTGTTTATATCTTACCCTAACTGCCTCCTCTTTTAGTTTATAAACTTTCACCTCTCTCTTCCCTGATGCTTCTATTCTCCTTGTATCCCATCTACCTTTTACTCTCAGTGTAGCTACAACTAGAAAGTGATCTGATATATCTGTGGCCCCTCTATAAACATGTACACCTGAAGTCTACTCAACAGTCTTTTATCTACCAATACATAATCCAACAAACTACTGTCATTTCGCCCTACATCATATCGTGTATACTTATTTATCCTCTTTTTCTTAAAATATGTATTACCTATAACTAAACCCCTTTCTATACAAAGTTCAATCAAAGGGCTCCCATTATCATTTACACCTGGCACCCCAAACTTACCTACCACACCCTCTCTAAAAGTTTCTCCTTCTTTTAGCATTCAGGTCCCCTACCACAATTACTCTCTCACTTGGTTCAAAGGCCCCTATACATTAACTTAACATCTCCCAAAATCTCTCTCTCTCCTCTGCATTCCTCTCTTCCCCAGGTGCATACACGCTTTTTTTCTATTCTCTTTATTACAATATACAGTACACTACTGTATAACATTTAAAAATATACCAGAAATGTTATAAATGGTGCAAAGGTGACATTAAAACAATATCAAAGATGGTTGACACAGACCCACTACCATTATAATATGCTCCTCGCTTAGCGACGAATTTGTTTACTGACGTAGTCTAAGGAACGGAACTCAGCTAAAAACTTAGCAATAAAATAGTGCAATACTGTACTGTAAAATTGGATTTGAAGCGTATTATGTCTCAGCTTGCAAAATATCTGAAGGATTAAAAAATTCAGTTATGCCTAATAGGTAAAAACTATTTACCCTAATGGGAACAGAATTTGTAAAAATATTGTACATTAATAAATACATAATTCTATACAGAGCTGAAGGTTAAAAAGATCAGCAGCAACTTACTGGTGCTGGTCGTGATCCCAGGAAGTTAACATCCATGTTTTCCCCAAAGAGATACATCTCCGGCTGAGCAGTGTCAAATCGCTCGCCTCCCATGATAAAATGACTGCTGAAGTAATTTCCTGAAAAAAAAAAAATTATACCTATTCGCTGATTTCTAGGTGCTGACGAGTTATACATGAAAATTGTTATTATATTACGTATGTACTATATATTATTTTATTTTTATTATATATTATATTAGTATATCATATTATTTATATTATTATTATTATATTAGTATATTATATCATATTATTTATATTATTATATTATTATTATTATTATTATTATTATTATTATTATTATTAATTATATTATTAATATTATAACATTCATGGGGAAATGCTAAACTTGTAAGGGTCCATCTCTTCTCCACATTAATACCTATTTTTTTTTATCTGTAGCTACATGGTGTCCAGTCATCAATAATTTGTCTATCAAAATTTGTTCATTCCTCTAAGATACTGACCACCACCTCAAAATTACCACTCCAAGGACCTCAATGGAAATAAGTCACCGACTTCTTTTTTGGGTAATCCCCAATAAAAAGTTAAGTGACTTTTTTTCTGGGTAACCCTAGGTAATTGACACATGTCAAACTATGTATGATAATTGTACTGATGTGTCCCTGAATCTAAATAAACTTACACCTCTGTCTATGTGTTATATTCTCTCTTGGTGTGCCGGCAAAATGTTTAAGCAATAAAAACATAAGGTATACCCTAGAGTTGCACACATCTTAATCCTAAATTTGTATGTAGTGCATACCATTAATATGATATACGAGTTTGGTTTTTGGGCAGCATTATTTTTTTTTTTAGCACACTGGCCATTTCCCAAATAAGCCATTTCATATATTTATATTTTAATACAAATTATATTCACTGATTATTCTATATTATTTTTATATGCATATTTTTCATCAGAGTGAAAGTATGATAACTGCCAGGTCACCAGGACACAATGACTGCCAAGACAAGCTAAGCACAGAAACTGGCACATCTAGTCAGGTACAATTATTACTATTATAATCATAACTAAATGCTAAACCCACAAGGGTCATACAGGTAAAAGCACACAAGCGCAACTAATGTGACGTTTTACTGTGGCAACGTTTCGCTCTCCAGGAGCTTTATCAAGCCGTAACAAACAATACATGGACACAGAGGGTATATATAGGCTTAGAGTGAGGTGTAATATTAGTAGTAGTAATAGTAGTAATATTAGTTGTAGTAATAGTAGTAATATTAGTTGTAGTAGTAGTAGTAATATTAGTTGTAGTAGTAATAGCAATACATAGTGTTGGTAATTCTACCAACATTAATTCACATTAGTTGCACTTGTGTCCTTTTGCGTAACCTATTGTCGGTAAAGCTACCAACATTAATACACGGGTCAAACAGCAATGACGTCAGGTACTAGAACTTGTTGTTTAGGTCAATTATTATATTTAAGGGGAAGTGCTAAACCCATAGAGGTCATGGCTGATATCCAGACCTGGTTCTTTAGAGAATGTGTACATTATTTCATACAAAATTTTTACCATGAATTTTTTTTTCCCACTAAAATTAAAATATTTTGACTAAAAATCCTTTAATATAGATCAAAATACCTAATCTTATATTTTATTGTAATTTTTATATGATTTTTATAAAAATGGGTGAAATATTAAAAAAATAAGAAATTTGAGCTAAAATGTTATTTTAATGAATATTTTGACAAATATAATAGCTTTATTTTGGCTCAAATGCCATGCCAAGACTGATCAACAGTTATTACCAATGAACATAAATACACACCAGTTCCACATCTACCTCTGGCAGAGTAGGTGAAGTTACTTCAGGTATTTTTGAGTTTACCTGGAGAGAGTTCCAGGGGTCAATGCCCCTGCAGCCCAGTCTGTGACCAGGCCTCCTGGTGGATCAGAGCCTTATCAACCAGGCTGTTACTGCTGACTGCACATAATCCAACGTACAAGCCATAGCCCAGCTGGTCAGGTACCAACTTTAGGTGCTTGTCCAGTGCCAGTTTGAAGACTGCCAGGGGTCTATTGGTAATCCCCCTTATGTACGCTGGGAGGCAGTTGAACAGTCTCGGGCCCCTGACACTTATTGTATTGTCTCTTAACGTGCTAGTGACACCCCTGAGTGAGTTATTTTGGGTAACATTAGGTTTGCTTATTTTTTACCAATTTCACAAAATATATCCATGGAAAAACCAACTTAACATTGATTATTTTAAAAAATAAACCTAAAATTACAGGATAACCCCGAGAAATACACCATATATGTCCTATGGAGGAATGTGTAGACTAGTTGAGATTGTCATGAGTATTTTCACACAGGCGTTAAACCTGTAAGGACGATTCATCGTCTGACTCATTATTATTATTATTATAATCAAGGGGGAAGCGCTAAACCCGGAGGATTATACAGCGCCTGGGGGGGGGATGTGGAAGGCATTCAGGCTTAATTCGGGGAACTGGAGCACAGATCCAATTCCCTAAATCAAGAGCCCCTCACCAACATCAAGGAACATCGTCTGAGTCAGCTAATAAGTTTATTCAGGTACAGGTACATATAATTACATAAATTATCATACATAGCAGTATATGTGTAGATTACCCAGGATAATCCCTTAAAAAAGGTCTAAATGACTGATTTCCATTAGGGTTCTTATATTATTATTATAATAAAAAAAAGTGCTAAACCACAAGGGCAGGGTTCTTATAGTTCTAAACCAGCTAATTATCATAATGAAGAGGAAACGCTAAACCCGTAGGGTTATGCAGCGCCTGTGGGGGTGAGGAGGGATGTGGAAGGTATTCACAGCTCCAATTCCTCAGATCAAGAGCCCCTCACCAGATTTTAGATTTCGCCACCGAAGTGGCTAGTTTATTGTGCACCCCATATCCATCCTGTGGACGGTAGCGCGAGAGCATATGGATACACAAAAGGCCTAGGAACTAGACCCCAAAGGGTTAACAGGAATACATATGGATTTATATCTACATATCTATAGTTCACTTATCTGTTGCAAGCAAATTTAGGAAATTTACTTAGTATATCTGGTATCTTATTTTCATTAAAAAGATATCTTGACATGTCACATAGGTTATTATACTGTATGTCTCTGTATTCTTCAATAAGTGGACAATTAAGCACATAGTGTTCAAGAGAGTGACCATATGCCTGATCACATAATTTACATTTAGTTTGATCATCATCTGTGTGTCTACCTGGAGACCTGGAGTTTACCTGGAGAGAGTTCCGGGGGTCAACGCCCCCGCGGCCCGGTCTGAGACCAGGCCTCCTGGTGGATCAGAGCCTGATCAACCAGGCTGTTGCTGCTGGCTGCACGCAGCAGCAGATGTACTTGCCAGAAGTACTTGTAACCAAGCCTAAGCCTGGCCACTACAACATCAATCAGTACTTGTAACCAAGCCTAAGCCTGGCCACTACAACATCAGTCAGTACTTGTAACCAAGCCTAAGCCTGGCCACTACAACATCAGTCAGTACTTGTAACCAAGCCTAAGCCTGGCCACTACAACATCAGTCAGTACTTGTAACCAAGCCTAAGCCTGACTACCACAACATAGTCAGTACTTGTAACCAAGCCTAAGCCAGACCACTACAACATCAGTCAGTACTTGTAACCAAGCCTAAGCCTGGCCACTACAACATCAATCAGTACTTGTAACCAAGCCTAAGCCTGGCCACTACAACATCAGTCAGTACTTGTAACCAAGCCTAAGCCTGGCCACTACATCATCAGTCAGTACTTGTAACCAAGCCTAAGCCTGGCCACTACAACATCAGTCAGTACTTGTAACCAAGCCTAAGCCTGGCCACTACAACATCAGTCAGTACTTGTAACCAAGCCTAAGCCTGACTACCACAACATAGTCAGTACTTGTAACCAAGCCTAAGCCAGACCACTACAACATCAGTCAGTACTTGTAACCAAGCCTAAGCCTGGCCACTACAACATCAGTCAGTACTTGTAACCAAACCTAAGCCTGGCCACTACAACATCAGTCAGTACTTGTAACCAAGCCTAAGCCTGGCCACTACAACATCAGTCAGTACTTGTAACCAAGCCTAAGCCTGGCCACTGCAACATCAGTCAGTACTTGTAACCAAGCCTAAGCCTGGCCACTACAACATCAGTCAGTACTTGTAACCAAGCCTAAGCCTGGCCACTACAACATCAGTCAGTAATTGTAACCAAGCCTAAGCCTGGTCACCACAACATCAGTCAGTACTTGTAACCAAGCCTAAGCCTGGCCACTACAACATCAGTCAGTCTGTTCACATTGCAAGTTGCTCCATAAACATACATATCTACGTTCATGTTATCATAGTGGGTTATAGATCTACTCAGGCTTCTAATTGCATTCCTATAACAATCATTTTCATTATTTACTTCTCTCCTAATATTATTCCTAATGCTAGACACAGTTATACCAAAGTTATATTCTACATTCTCCTTCTGGGTACTCTTCTTGGCTAACATATCAACTTTATCATGAAGGAGTAATCCAATGTGTGATGGGATCCATAGCAATTGTACATTAATTCCTTTGTCCCTAATTTTTGAGTATCTATACCTGGCTTCTCCAATGAGCATGTTGTTGGAGTCATTATATGAGTCAAAAGCCCCTCACCAGCGTCAAGAAACCTTCCTTAATTATTATAATTAAGGGGAAGCTCTAAACCCGTAGGATTACACAAAATGGATGGTATTCAGGCTTACTTCAGGGAGCTGGAGCACAAATCCATTTCCTTAGATCAAGAGCCTCTCACCAGCGTCAAGGAACCTTCCTTGAGGGCCTAAACCAGCTAAGAAAAGGCAAATCAGGAGGTACTACGGCAGGTCTCACCATTTTTAGGAGGGTATCTGTAGGCATGGTTGACCCCAATGTCCACCTCCTCGACCCCAGCGTTCTGCCTGCTAGCTATGGCCCCCATTTTAATAGCTGCTCCTGTGTGTGCATGAAGCTGTCAGTTGTGTTTTGGCACTTGCTAGGCCATTAATGACACTTGAGAGCCAGAGGGACGAGTGTCTATTGTGAGTGTGACAGTTACCTTCCTGCCATCTATCGACTAGAGTCGACCTTCTTATCAAGGACCCCAGTGGAATTAAGTCATTTTATTTAACTTTTTTCACTTATCTTAGGTAATTTACATATGCGCTATTATGTAAGGCATTTGTAACTATCCAAAAAGTGTGTAAATATGCCTAAATAAAGTTATTTACTTACTTTACATCAGGCATAAGAGAATTTTAAGGGGTAACTCATGTAGTTAAATACAAAGTTGAACTTTCTGTGTTTCAATCACCATTTCTCGAATTCTGCCCCAGGTTAAACGGAAAAAATATGTCATATAGAAGGTTTATTCACGATATAAGCTCCAAAGTGGTAGTAACTCAGGATAACTTTATAAAGCCAACACTGTGTTGCTGTTTTTATTAAGGAAACTTTTTAGCAAGCTACAAGAACCCATATGGAAATGAGTCACTCAGTTTTTTGGGCTATTCTAGGTAATTTACACATATGTTACTGTGTATGATAATTGTACTTATGTGTACCTGTACACATAAGTACAATTATCATACACAGTAACCAAGTATTTCAAATTTATCAACTTGGTATTGTACCATCAGCAATATGAAAGATTTAATATGTCTACGGACATTGTCGTCCCTGGAGGACATAGATTGTCTTTATTAACAAAGTATCCTTCACCCTTCCACCTCTGTCCTAGCCCACTGTGTAGGCTTCACCTCTGTCCTAGCCCGCTGTGTAGGCTTCACCTCTGTCCTAGCCCACTGTGTAGGTTTCACCTCTGTCCTAGCCCACTGTGTAGGTTTCACCTCTGTCCTAGCCCACTGTGTAGGCTTCACCTCTGTCCTAGCCCACTGTGTAGGCTTCACCTCTGTCCTAGCCCACTGTGTAGGCTTCACCTCTGTCCTAGCCAACTGTGTAGGTTTCACCTCTGTCCTAGCCCACTGTGTAGGCTTCGCCTCTGTCCTGGCCCACTGTGTAGGCTTCACCTCTGTCCTAGCTCACTGTGTAGGTTTCACCTCCGTCCTAGCCCACTGTGTAGGTTTCACCTCCGTCCTAACCCACTGTGTAGGCTTCACCTCCGTCCTAGCCCACTGTATAGGCTTCACCTCCGTCCTAGCCCACTGTCCTACATAATCAATCAATCAAGTTTATTCTCTATAAGGATTACAATGCGGGGTTTACAGATTTTGGTTATTGTGTGGTTTACATGTAATAAAATACTAATTACAGAGGGGGCCGCTAGAACACCTAGCATGGCTAGGCATTTCGGGCAGACTTAGATTAATTCTTAGCCCTAAATTATTACAAATTGTGGAGTAAGTTGACTAAATACTAAGTGACTAAATACTAGTTTGTGAGTTTAGCAATGTGAATGCTTTTGTTTTGGCACAATACATAGTTTCTATATTGGAGTATCATAGGCAAACTTATGACTAGTTAGGATTCATTATTTTAAGATTAAGATTAGTATTTCTGTGTTTATAGTCAAATGGGTGAGTGAGTGAAAGTGCGAACCACCAGGTGGTTTTTATGTAGTTAGTTGACGGGGTGTATCAGGGAGATAAAATGTTTTCTAACGGTAGTTTTGAATGTGATGAATGTGTTTGCAGTTCTAGAGTTTTCAGGTAGGGTGTTCCAGATGTTAGGGTCTTTGACATACATTGAATTTTTGTAAAGGTTTAGTCGGACACGGGGAATGTCATAGAGATGTTTGTGTCTGGTTGTGAAAATTTGTGTGGACTGCCTCCAAGAGAATCACCTACCCTGGCAAACTCTGTTGACACCGAGCTCTGAGGTGGGTACCTCAGCCTCACAAGTGGCTTATAGGACAGATTTTCACAAATGATTGATGTTGCAAGAAAATTCGCCTGCATGCACGTATAAAGGACTAACTTACTTGGTGTTGCAGCATATATCCTGATCTTCAACTTCCCTAAGCTTAGCCTTAGCCCCTTTGGACTTCCCCTTAGAAACCACGTGCAACCGGGAGCCTTAATTCCTGCAATATTCAATCGTTATTAGTGTCCTGCCTGCACCTCAGAAATTCCTATACCCAAAGAGGGTATGTATCCCTAGTATAAACTATGCAGACACGGACATTAGCTTCCAGACTGCCTTGAGACACTGGTACTTACTGGGCATGCACTGCCTGTTGCACACCGGGCCCACAGATCAAACTCACTCACAATCTCCCCAGACACTGGCCAGAAATCTACGAGATAAAGTGGAGGTGTTGTCTTACTGTATGGGCCTGACGGAGGAGGTCATCTACGGTACATCGAGGTGCCTCTACCAGATTTCCCCAGGTCTCAAATGTGAAGACACGTGGGGGGCGCCATCTGCTGATCATGGCACGTTTTGTCCAGTTGGTGTCTGTCTTAAGAAGAACAAGCTGGTCTCTCTTCCAGACCCTCGTCTCTTCGTTCAAACTAGGGCTGCCAGTTCTCCCTAGCTAACTTATCCTAGTGTTTGCCTATATTATCGGCCTATTACTACCTATGTTAAGGTCTTAGGTCTACATTATTATTATCTACAGTTGCCTCAATAATCCTAATATTAGTGTACTACCAGTAAAACTACCTACTCTTCCTGAAGAGTAAATTTTATAAATTAAATAAGCTTACCAACAATCCCCGCCAACTCGAGAGAATGCTTTTATGTTTGGGTGGGGTATAAGGGCCATCCAGCTCAGCTGTTCCATCACGGCCATGCCGGATGTGTCCTGTGGAACTTTAGGGACTAAATAAATTTCCACATCCTCCCGCCGGCGAAGGTAGGCGCTAAGTCTATATCAAGTCTGCCTCCCACAGGCCTTCCCAGTGGGCCCTGGACTTGAGCGCCGTTTGACAGGTCGTCCGGCCGCTCAGCTCGGTCAGCCTCTGGTCTAATTTCTCATGTCCCGGTCCCACTGTGTGGACCTCAAGAGGTAAAAGCCTGTTGATGGGTCTTATATTCTCGACACCATTCATTCTCACCTTCACCATTCTCAACCACCCAGCCTTGTCTGGGTGGGTTGACACTACCAGGCCAAGAGGCCAGTATGCCCTGGGCGCCTCGGATTCTACTAGCACCAGGTCCCCTTCACTTAGCATCATCTTATTTGCCTCGGGGTCGGCACCATAGAAATGTTCCCGCAAGGTTGTCAAGTAATCCCTGTGCCACACCTGGTTCCATTTGTCCTCATCCTCATATCTGACATAGACAAGGATGTCAGCCACAGCACCGTGTCTTCCTTTGCAGATGACACCCGAATCTGCATGACAGTGTCTTCCATTGCAGACACTGCAAGGCTCCAGGCGGACATCAACCAGATCTTTCAGTGGGCTGCAGAAAACAATATGAAGTTCAACGATGAGAAATTTCAATTACTCAGATATGGTAAACACGAGGAAATTATATCTTCATCAGAGTACAAAACAAATTCTGGCCACAAAATAGAGCAAAACACCAACGTCAAAGACCTGGGAGTGATCATGTCGGAGGATCTCACCTTCAAGGACCATAACATTGTATCGATCGCATCTGCTAGAAAAATGACAGGATGGATAATGAGAACCTTCAAAACGAGGGATGCATGATTATATACACCTGGAAAATCCTAGAGGGACTAGTACCGAACTTGCACACGAAAATCACTCACTACGAAAGCAAAAGACTTGGCAGACGATGCAACATCCCCCCAATGAAAAACAGGGGTGTCACTAGCACGTTAAGAGACCATACAATAAGTGTCAGGGGCCCGAGACTGTTCAACTGCCTCCCAGCATACATAAGGGGGATTACCAACAGACCCCTGGCAGTCTTCAAGCTAACACTGGACAAGCACCTAAAGTCGGTTCCTGATCAGCCGGGCTGTGGCTCGTACGTTGGTTTGCGTGCAGCCAGCAGTAACAGCCTGGTTGATCAGGCTCTGATCCACCAGGAGGCATGGTCACAGACCGAGCCGCGGGGGCGTTGACCCCCAGAACTCTCTCCAGGTAAACTCCAGATGTTCACCAGTCTGTTGCGACTCCTGTGCAGTTCTTCATTGATGGGGGGACCATCTGGCCCATAATAATCCAGCTCCTTGGAAGACTGACTCAGAATTGCAGGGAAGGGCTCAATCCTCCTTCCAAACAGCATGTGATTAGGGGTGAGAGCTTCCTGCTCGTCAATCCCATTTTGTACGTAGGTCAGAGGCCTGTTATTGACTCTTGCCTCTATCTCAACTAACACTGTCCTCAGTTCATCAAAGCTCACTCTCCTGCCGTGCAAGACCTTCCGAATGCACCCTTTGACTGTGCCACCATACGTTCATAGAATCCCCTTGCCAAGGCGCCCTGGAGCTATGAACCTCCACTCGCACTCTATTCTCTTCAGGTGTTCTCGTACTTCTCCGTTGTCCCTAAGATTCCTGAAAACTTTATCGACTGCCCAAAAGCTTGTGCCATTGTCCGAGGGTAATCAATCGCGGGCACGAGAAACTGGCTGTAAACCTCCCGGAACAACTTCACGAAAGTCTCTGTTGACATTTTCTTCTGCCAACTCCCAAAAGCACAGCTCGGTAGTGGAAAGGG